AAAACTGGAATAACCATTAAGGGTTGTTGTCAACCTGTTATTTCATGTAGGTTTTGCTGGTGACGTCCAATTCAAGGTTCTACAAAATTCAGAAATAAAAGTTCTTGGTGAAGAAGAAAGGATATTGAATTCTTAGAATTTAGAAAATGTCTTCTCTTCCACCACATAATTGTCCAAACAACTTGGGCCAGTTGAAATCAGTTTTAATTTACTTTTTAATACCACTGATAGACCTTAATGGGGATAACCAGAATTCAGCTACTTGTCTTCACATAAAAAATGACTTTGTACAGGTTATTTAGCTTCATCCAGATCCTCCTGCCAGCGCTCTGTCATCTCACAGTGGCTGTCTGGGAAGTGGCCAGCCTGTGTGGGGGCATTTAAGTAACACTTTTGTTATACTGGGGAAAGGGAGATGGAATTTGGGAGAGCAGTCCTGAGACCAGGAGTTACTTATTTCTTTCAGGGTTTTGTTTGCTTTGTTTCTTTTCTTTTTTTTATAGTTTTGTTTATTTACTTTGCTTTTACATTTATTTTTTATTTTTCAATTATAGTTGTCATACAGTATTATATTAGTTTTAGGTATATACCCCAGTGATCGGACATTATATAACTTACTAGGTGATCATACTGATAAATCTCATACCCCTTTGACATGGTTATTGGAAAATTATTGACCATATTCCTCATGCTGTACTTTATATCCTTATGACTATTTTGTGACAACCAATTTGTACTTCTTAATCCTTTCACCTTTTCACCCATCACCACAACTCCCCTCCCACACGGCATCTGTCAAAATGTTCATTGCATGTATGCATCTGTTTCTATTCTGCTTGTTTACTTATTTTGTTTTTTAGATTCAGCTATTGATAGATATGCATTTATTGCTGTTGTATTGTTCCTATTTTAATGTTTGTTTTCTTCTTTAAAAAGACCTTTTAATGTTTTATGTAATACTGGTTTGGTGAGGAGGAACTCCTTTACCTTTTTCTTGTCTGGGAAGCTCTTTATATGTCTTTTGATTCTAAATGATAGCTTTGCTGGGCACACTAATTCTGGTTGTAGGTTCTTGCTTTTCATTATTTTGAATACTTCTTGCCAATTTCTTCTGGTCTGTAGAGTTTCTGTTGAGAAACCAGCTGATAGTCTTATGGGAGCTCTCTTATAGGTAACTAACTGCTTTTCTCTTGCTACTTTTAAGATTCTCTCTTCACCTTTAGCTTTTGCATTTTTATTATAATGTGTCTTGGTATGAGCCTCTTTGGGTTCATCTTGTTTGGGAATCTTTGCACTTCCTGGACTTGTATGTCTGTTTCCTCAGTCAAGTCCAAGAAGTCTTCTGTCATTATTTTTTCAAATAGATTTTCAATTTCTTCTTCTCTTTTCCTTCTGGCGCCCCCATGATGTGTTGGTACACTTGGAGTTATCCAAGAGGCTCCTTTTGTTATCCTCATTTTTTTAGATTCTTTTTTTTCTTTTTGCTGTTCTGATTAGATGATTTTTGCTTCCTTATGTTCCAAGTCACTGTTTTGATTCTTGGCTTCATCTACTTTACAGTTGATTCCCTCTAAATTATTCTTCACTTCAGTTAGTATAGCCTTCATTTATAACTGGTTCTTTTTTATAGTTTCCATGTCCTTTTTATGCTGTTGAAGTTCTCACTAAGTTCCTCTACTCTTTACCTAAGTTCATTGGGCATCCTTATAACTAGTGTTTTGAACTCTGCATCTAGTAGATTGCTTGTGTTTATTTTATTCAGTTCTTTTTTCTGGAGTTTTGTCTTATGCTTTCATCTGGGACATGTTTCTATGTCTCCTCATTTTGCGGGCCTCCTTGTATTTCTTTCTTTCTTTCCTTTTAAAAATTTCTTTATTCTTAGAGATGGGAAGGGAGGGAGAAAGAAAGAGAAGGAAATATCAATGCATGGTTGATCTGGCCTGCAATCCAGGCATGTGCCCTGACTGGGAATTGAACCAGTGACTCTTTGGTTTGTAGTTTGTGCTCAATCCACTGAGTTATACCAGCCAGGGCTATATATTTTTTCTATGTATAGGTAAAATTGCTACATCTTTTGGCCTTGGTAGAGTGGCCTTATATAGTAGATATTCTGTAGAGTCCAGTGGCACAGCCTCCCCAGTCACCCAAGCTGAGCACTCCAGGTGTTCCCTCTATCCCCATGTAGGATGTCTACACCCTCCTATTGTAGTTGAGTTTTGGTTGCTGTTGGCACATCAATGGGAGGGATTTACTCTTAGGTCAATAAGCTGTAATGGCTAGCTGAACCACCATTGAGGATCAGCTGCGAATGGGCCTACACCACAGAGCAGGACTTACTTCAGGGCTCTGGTGCCTGCTGAGTCTTCCACTTCACTATGTCACTCGTGGAGGTGGTTGGGCAGTGCTTTGATGTGGTCGGAATCTGTCCACGGAGTGTGCTGGCTCTGGGACCTCCCAGGAGCTGGAGGCCATGGTCAGCCACTGCCTACGTTCTGCCCAGGGCCACCTGTCATTAGCTACAAAACAATCTGCAGATGGCTATCACTTGTGCTGGGCTTGGAGGTGACCAGGAGAGGCCAAGCTATGAACCAAGTCCAGCTGCTGCTAGTGCCTGGCCTGGGTCCACTTGAAAGGTATGGGGCATGCTGAGGCCAGTTGCTGCTTGTTTGAGAGATTTCAGGAAAGTCTAAAGCATGAACCAAGATAGGACATTCTATGGTAAAGCCACTGGAAAGTGAGTTGGGTGGGCCTGAAACTTGGGTGGGGCAGGGTCTTAGGGAATTACCAAGCAGGGCAAACAGTCATAGCCAGGTTGATGGAGACTCAGACAGTGTGCCTGCCTGCAGGATCTGTGGGGGAAGTGCTCAGAGAAAGAACAATGGCCTCTGCCAGCACTTCTTTTTGGGAGAAAGCTGACCCTCCAGCTCTTGCCCTGATGCCAGACAATTCAGGTCCTCCCCATATGTCTCTGGTACCTTTTGAGCTGCTACCCCAGTGCTGGAACTCAGAGGGAGTCAATCTGAGTACATCTGTGCTCAGACCATTTAAAAGGAACTTCCTGAGACTCTAGAGCCCTCAATCTCACTCAGCCACAGTCCCCACTGGTTTATACAGCCATAAGTTGTGGAGATGTTTCTTCCTGGCACCAGAACTTTGGGCTGGGAGGCCTGGTGTGGGGCTGGGACCACTTGCTTCTCAGAGGGAACCTCCAGAGCTCAGATATACTTCCTGCTTTTTGGCCTCCGCACCTGACTGTGGGATCAGCCCTTTCATTGTCTCTTCACCTCTTACCAGTCTCAATGTGGCTTCTTCTGTATATTCTTAGATGTAGTACTTGCGTTCGGTGAGATTCAGGCAGTTCTGAATGATGGTTATTCTATATCTTAGTTGTAATTTTGATGTGATTATGGATGATGTGAATTTACCTATGTTGCCATCTTGACTGGAAGCATGTTTTAATTTTTCATGCAGAGTCTGTTAATGTTAGTAATCTTGTTGGTCAGAAGTAATCACACCTTGTGAAAACTGGCTTTTGTCACCTAGGTCTAAGAATTTTAAAAGAAAAAGATATCCTAGGAAGGAAAGGGAGCCAATGTAAAAATGTTCTAAGTGTAGCAGGTGTTTGGTGAATGGTGTAGCCGTGTAATACAGAGGTTCTCTAGGCTGGGCTGATCTCCTTTCCCTTCAATCAGTGCTGTAGGCATGCGTCCCTTTTTTATCTTCCAAATGCCATTTATTATGTTCTAACCTACCATTTTGGATTCTGATTAAGTAAACATACTTTTATTGTTTTTGAGAGAGAATTCTCTAGGTACTAAGCTGTTGGATCTACCCACAACATCTCTTTTTATTCCATCTCTCTCTCCTTTCCTTCCTTGCACCCTCTGTTTTTCAAGTCTTTGTACTTGCTACTTATAAGACTTTAAACCTCAATTGTTTGCAGTACAATGTAGTTTTTAATTAAAGTTATTGGGTTGACATTGGTTAATAAAATTATATAGGTTTTATTGTTTAATATATTTTATTGACAAGTTATATAGGTTTTAACTGTATAATTCTATGATGCATGATTTATATATTGCATTGTGTGCCCCCCACCCAAAGCCACAAAGTGTTGTAATCTAAGACTTGTATTTTGTGACAGGGTCCATAAAAGATTATTTCTGGTTTTCTTTTGTATCAGGCGAATACCCATCCTGAAAGTATCTATTCTTATTGAAATAGTGGAACAAATTGATTCATTGATTTGGAATGGGCATGTCCTTGTTTTGGAATGGGCTCAGAATTAAAAGAAAAACACCTCCCCCCACTCAAAAAAAAGAAAACTAGATACATCTTCTGGCCAGGTTGGGACAATTTATATGGTGTCTTTGAGAGTCCCCAGAACTCTGAATCTAATCAAGATGAAAAGCATGGAACAGCTGAAAGGAATCACATGTATTCTCAGGCATATGTAGCAAACAGGGCCCAGGTTTCTTCGGGGTGGAATATAGATCCACCTTTGAAATTCTGATTATAAGCCTTAAGACCTGATTAACTTTGGCTGTGAAACTGGAAGTGTGCCATCTAAACCTGTGGGGAAGTTCACATTAAGTAGATGCAATAAGAAAAACTTTTAGAACAGTCCCTGCCTTATCTTGTCAAAAGTCATTGTTAGAAACTAGAAGTAGAGAGAAGTGATTTTTTTTAAGGAAAAAAAAAGATCCCATGACTCATGAGCTTCCTGTTTTTATTTGGACAGTACAACAAGGTACCTTTAAAACATTTGATGGGTTTCCATCTTCGTACCCCCTAACTTATTTTTCCTAGCACTATCTTATACATGTAACTGTGTGCTGTCTAACAAAGAAGGTAAAATACATGTGTACGACAAGTAAGGTACTATCCAAGAACTGTGGCTTTCTAAAGAGAGGTTAAGTAGTGTGGGTTTCTAAAGAGAGTTCTAAAGAGAGTTTAAGGTAAGTCATAAAAGGCTTTTAAAATTAATATTTATTTTGCAGGGATTGTTGTCTGTGAAGCACCTAACAACAAATTAGATAAATTCATGGGAGTTCTCTCTTGGAAGGACAGCAAGCACTCCCTCAACAATGAGAAGATAATCCTGAGGGGCTGTGTCCTGAGAAACACCAGCTGGTGTTTTGGAATGGTTATTTTTGCAGGTATGGCTACTGCCCAGGGTTGGTTGGGAGAGGGCATCCCTTCCTGACGTTTGCATGGGCATAGTCTGCGGCTCCCTGGGTTGGATGAACACAGTGCTTCTATTCTATCTGAGGTGTCGCCCTGCATTGACTACAGAGTGCAGGGCACCAGGGGAAGACACCAATGCTCCGGAATACTGTGTGCGGGTCCGCTGTGTGAGGAATCACTGACATCATGAACGTGGTCCTAAGGGTCCTTGGGCCTTAATTACTCAGTGGGGGGTAGATGCTTATTGTTTAATTTCTCATTCTTTAGCCCCATCTCAATCATCCACATCATTATATTTACCAACTGACTTGCCTTTGAAATGGGGAAATAGTACCAAAAAAAAATTCCCCTGCTCTGCTGTTAATTTGGTAATTTGCAAAGGTCCAATAATTCTTTTGGAAAAGCTTCTTGGAGCTTCCACAATCGTTTCTGTTTATACTCCATGGCTTCTTTTCTTGGTCAGTGGGCCCTGAAAGACTGTGTGTGATGGAAGTGGGGTGGGAGTTAGGGAACAGGGGAGGAGCTTTTAACTCTTCCTGCTGCCCACTTTTCCATTCTCTGCTTTTTATCTGTGGGCCCAAGGTGGCACTCTCCTGCTGAGGAAGCTTACAGTAGCACCACTTCATAAAGCCACTCAAATGGTTCTCATGGCTTCAATTGCTAACTCTTGACTTTTAAAAATCCTGTTTATTGTGACACTAAATTAAGATGTGTTTGGGGCCCGTTGACTATATGTGCAATCAAAATTGGAATGTTTCTCTTAACTGACTTTCCTCAACAACAACGAAATGTTCATTAAAGACTCAAAAGGGTTCCAACTGGAAAAGTCCTCCCACTTCTTTCTAAATACTCTCAGCTGTGTGTGTTAACAAGGCTCTTGCTGATTGGGACATTGCCATCAAAAGGACTTGGGAAATTCCGTAGAAATGAGGCAGTGTATGTGCTTTTACCTGGGAATGAATCTGGTTTCGTAATTCTCTCATCAGTTACTTTCATTCTTTTGTCATGGAGATAAGCCTGTGATCATGTCTTTCTTCATTTGCTTCTTTCTTGCATTGAGAACAAGACAGCCAAGCTCATACCTTCCTACTTAATGAAGGGGGCACTCCTTGAAGGTCCTCTGATGGGAAGGACACTCCTGGTTTGCTCCCTGTCATCATAGAAATGGGTAGTGCTTCATCGTAGAAATGGGTGGTAGCCCAAAATTTTGTTTGCATTTGTATGATCTTGTTTGAAAATACTGATTCAGGACTATGGTGCAGCATGTTGAGCTAGGACAGCTGCTCTGAACCACATAGGAGCCAAGTTTTCCTTCAGAAGGCTGGCTCTGTGGGAAAACGCTTCTATAGAGAAGGAAGTGGGGTGGTAAGTTGAACAGGTCTCCCTCTAAGCAGTATAACAGAAAGTTCACAGAATCTGGATTGGACAGATCTGGGTTCAGACTTGTTTACCAGCTGTAGGATGTTAAGTTTTGGTTACTTTCTAAGCTTTAGCTTTTTCTACTGTAAGTGGGGGTAATAATAAGTTCATTAGGCAGTCACTGTAAAAGCTCAGTGAGACAATGCATATGGAAAGAGGATGCTTGACAAATGTTTTCCTTCCTTCCGTGCTTCTCCCTTCTTTGGGCATTGGTTCAGAGTGAATTGCCTGCTCTATAGGCTGAGAGTTGGGAAAATGTACTGCTCTTTGGATTTTGGCAGGGAAGTGTGGGAACACCCTCTTCTTTTGTGATGTGGCTTGGATGTTTCCTGGCAGGAAACCCTCATGAGGGAGATATTTGTAATGCACATCATGCCTCCGTTGACTTCAGTCTGGGCACAAATGTTGATAAAAAGCTTAACTAGAATGACAGCAGGCAGAATGGTTGGTTTCACCAGTTTCAAAATTGCACAGGTGAATGTCTCAGAACCACTAAGTTTTGACATCTAATTTGGGAAACTAGTTCCAGGTAAACACCTAGATATTTTTAAAGTTATTCAAAATGGATTATTAACTATTCTTTCTGTGTTATTACTCTAATTATACCTACAATCGAGGATTGTGTAAGGAACTATCAAGACAGACATGGTTTACTTTTCAAATCTATAACTTATGAGGGTCTAAAGTACATTAACAGCTAAGCCATGTCTCCCTGGAAATGACTTTTCCTTTATACTCAAGAAAGGAAAAAGTCTTATTTCTGAGGGTAGGAGTCTTATTATTTATTTATGGAGTCCATTCCATCTTGGTGCACAGTAGGTTTTTTTGCTGGATGCCTTCTATTTGCTCCTCCAGACGTGTGGTCATCCTTTCCCACTCTTCTCTCTGGCCTGGAGGTTGACTTAATGTGGTTTACACTCAGGTTTCCTTGAACTTTGGGTTTTAGTTGGGCTATGTCATTGGGGATCCCTGGAGAGAGATAGATCAAAGGGAAAAAAAAGATTGAGATCAAGGTATTTTTTCTTCTCGACTGTCTGCCTGCCTGCATAGTCACTTCAGGTAGCTCAGTCCCTTAACGTACAGTCACTCTTCTTCTAAAGGTTGCAAACTCAACATACCTCTCTCCTTTAAGGTCCAGTAACCACTCCCTTCCTCCATCCCTTCCTTCTGGCTTAGATGGAAACATCTTAATTGCTACCAAGTCCTTGGTTACATCATTAACATTTAGCCTATCCTATACCCCCACGCACACTTTGGTATAGTCCCTCTATAAATAAACCTGTCTCCAGTTGTCCTTGTTCAATGTATCATCTATTTCCTGTTTGGACTCTGAGTGAGTCATAGTCTTAAATACACAAATGATTGAATGAGTCAGTAAATTAATGAGTTAATAGACTGTTTAATATAATTTTAAAATAACGGTCAAAAGCAAGAGATTTAGACTTAACTAAGTCTGGGTTCAAATTCTGTCTCTGACACCTACTAGACAAGAAATCTTAAGCAAGTTACTTAAATTCTTTAAATCTCAGTCTCATTATTAGTGAACTAAGGATAACTAACTTGTCTTCTTTTAAGCAACAGCTGAGACAATAGATAAAAAGCACATATATATTTTGCCTAAAGCATAACAAGCACTTAATAAATTAATTTATTAAACAATTATTTATTGAGTGCCTACTATGAGTCAAGCACTATGCTAATTATTCATTTGTAATTAAGAATGTGAACAAAACAAATACAGTCCCTTCACTCATGTGGTTTTGAATCTGGTAAGAGGCAGAGACTTTAATGTCAAATAATTGTAGTAATGAATATATAATCTTAAACTGAGATAATTGCTCTGAAGAAAAAGAATATGGACTCACAAGAGTATATAATGCAGGAACATGAAAGGAAAGGACAAGTTAGCTAACAGGTACGTCATGGGTAAAGGGCCTGTTGAAGGTGTGAGGATGGTGAGGTAAACAACAACAACAACAAACAAAAAACAAACTTAAGCAGGCCAGTGAGGAGCAGTGGAGCAGGTGTGAGGATGGTGAAGTAAACAACAACAACAGAGAAAAAACAAAAACAAACTTAAGTAGGTCACTGTGAAGCTGTGGAGCATAGAGAGCGAGAAGAACAGAGATGCATGAATGCCTGTAGATGTGAATGGGGGCTGGACCACGTAAGACCTGTGGCTTGTATTTAGAACTGTGGTTTTTATCCTAAGAGTATCGGGAAACAATTGCAAGTTTTCAAACAGATGGTGTGTGTTTACATGTTAAATTTCAAAAGTTTACTTGTGACTACAGTGTTTGTAACATTGGTAAGTAATAGGTGCCAAAAAAAAAAAAAGTATGATTGCAGTGGGGAAGAGGGGAAATATTGATTAGATTTGGGGGCAGAGTGGATTTAGGGAGACAAAGTTACTAGGCCTTTTATTATAGTCCAGTTGAGGGAAGATGGTAATATGGACTAGAGGGTGAGTCATGGAGATAGACTAGACTTCTAGGGTTCTCCCAGACTTCACAGCTGGGTGAGAAGTGGTGCCATTCACTGAGATGAGGAACTCTGGTGCATGGAGAGCATGGAGGACAGAGATGGACAGATGCCTGGAGAGGACAAGTTGGGCTGGACATGAGCAACTTGAGAAGCCTAAGAAAGACTCAGGTGAAGATGTCATATAGGCAATTAAATACATGGATTTAAATATATGAGTTTTTAGAGCTCAGAGGAGAAATCTGAGCTGGAGATACACATTTGCTCTATGAATGGTAATTGGAGTTGTGGTCCTAGGTGAGATTGCCCAGGGAAGGCAGGTTGAAAATGAACAGAAGATGGTATACGTATGAGTCTTAGTGAATTCCAATATTTCATGGCTGGGTAGAGAGTGGCGGTCTTCATAGCAGACAAAGACAGAGCTACCAAAGAGGTAGGAGGAAAAGCAGGAGAATATTGTAATATGGAAGCTAAAAGAAGAATGTGTTTCAAAAGGATGGACTAATCAACAGTATTAAAGGTCCTAAGAAGTCAAAGAATATCTAGAATATATTGATGATAACACCAAATCTGTTTGAATGGAATGACTGGCCCAGAAAGTAGAGTGGGTGATGAGTAAGAGATGAGGAAACAAGGACTATTGAGTATTGAAAAGTCTTTCAAGAGATGTGGCTATGAGAGGAAGAAGAGATGTGTATGTCAACATCTGTGGATATATTTAAATAAGTTCTTAAAAATCCATTAAATGGATTCTTTGATAGTCTCTGTGTGTATGTGCTTGTATGCATAAGTTGTAAATTTTTAATATAAAACTGGTCTGCCAATATTTCATCTTTTAGCAATCACAAACTTTATTTGCCCTTGTGATCTTTACTACAAAAGAAATTATTTCCCACCCTCAACATCCACATGATTTTAATAAATGATTTTGAGAAAATGTGGGTGGCCTCCTTTACACAGCAGTGGCTGGAATAGGGCACTGGGGTACAATTTCCAACCCAAGACAGTGAATTTTTCTGAGATCCAATCTTTGCTTCAATTTGTTTAGAAAGTAAATGAAAGTCTTTAACGATGTGCCCATTCTTCCTTGGTTTTTGGAATTTCATGTGTGCCTCCCCTCTCTTCTTCCTTTCATTTCTCCTCCCCTGCTATATTAAATGTCTTCATGAATTGAAAATAATCATGGGAAGATGATGTGTAGAGGGAACACTAGACAAGCCAGCTATAATTAAAACTTAATTGCTTCTGTTTGGCATTTTCCTTGCCCATAAGGAATCTCCTAAGCAATAATGTATTCTAACATTCTCCTTTGTTAAACACCTAATAATCTACCTCTAAGGCAGTGGATAATATTCTTAAAATTCCTTGAACAAAGAACACACTTAGTCATGTCTACCATGAGATAATGTATTGTATTTCCCTGAAATTAATCTCACACAAGATTAAGGATAATTCTTGTCCTTACATAAAGTACGTATTATATACACAGTGTATAATACATAGTAAAGGTTTAAATTATTCGCTCATGTATTGTTTGGAGTTATTCTAGTTTCTCTATTAAAGGTACCTCAAATCTGTGTGGAAAACAGATTCAGAATTTGACTTCTTATTTCAACTTTTCATTTTTGACCTTAGTGTTCTGAATTGTATTTTTTTTTTACTTAATTCTATTTTTGTTTATGCTGTTACAGTTCTGGCTTTCTCTCTCTTTCCCTACCTCCACCCAACTCCACCCCAAGCCAATCCCCATATTGTTGTCCATGATCATGGGTTGTGCATAAATGCTCTTTGGTTCTTTACTATCTTTTATTCTGTTCCTTCTATCTCCTTTCTGGCTGTTGTCAGTCTGTTTTATGTATCTAAGCTTCTGTTACTATTGTATTTTGTTCATTGGTTTATTGTGTTCATTTGATTTCACATATAAGTGAGAACATATGGTATTTTTCTTTCACTGACTGGCTTAATTCACTTAGCATAATTTTTTTTCCAGGATGATCCATGCTGTTGTGAATTGTAAGAGTTTCTTCTTTTTTACTGCTGTGTAGTATTCCATTGTATAAATGTACCACAGCTTTTTTATGCACTCATATACTGATGGGCAGTTAGGCTGTTTTCAAATCTTGGCTATTATAAATAGCACTGCTCTAAACATAGGAATGCATATATTTTTTGTATTGGTCTTTTGGGATCCTTGGTGTATATTCCCAGAAGTGGAATCGCTGGGTCAATAGGGAATTCCAGGTATGAATGACCCATGGACATGGAAAACAAGTTGGGGAATGACTGTGGGAGTTGGAGGTGGGTGGGCAGAGGAGGGCAAAGGGGGAAAATTGGGACAACTGTAATAGAATAACAATAAAATATTTAATAAAAAAGGGAGTTCCATTTTTAAATTTTTAAGGATACTCCATGTTGTTTTCCACAGTGGTTGCACCAGACCACATTCTCACCAACAGTGCAGGAGGGTTTCTCTTTCTCTACAATGTCACCAACACTTGTTTGCTGATTTATTGGTGGTGGCCATTCTGACAGGTGTAAGGTGATATCTTATTCAAATTATTCCTCACTCTGATGGACTTAATTATTTTTAACTGCTTCAAGCTACAAGCATATTTGTACACAGACTTTGGAAAAATCCCTTTTCTTAAACCTTTCATTTATAAGTTCTGTCTGGATTTATTTCGTTCTAAGGAGGCCAACTCTATTGCAGTTTCCAGAGTTTAGCCACTAGTTGAGAATCATATACAACTTAGTAATGGCCCTTGCTTGCTCTTAATAAAAGTTAAATTACTTAAAAAATATATTCTTTTATTTTCAGGAACACCTGATATGAGTAGGAATTTCTCCTCTTCCTCCTCCTATATCATCATCATCTAATAATAATATAATAATTTCAAAGTTGATATTAAAAACATTTTTTTACAGGTCCTGACACTAAACTAATGCAGAACAGTGGAAAGACAAAGTTTAAAAGGACAAGCATTGATAGGTTGATGAATACTCTAGTACTGTGGGTAAGTTTCTACAAGAAAATTAGGCAATGCCATTAGTCATTGTTATCTTCATATATTTTTTATATTTTGCTGGGAGTTCTTTCAGAAGTCTACGTTCTCCTTGTATAGTTTCTATTTGGAGATTTTATGTTTGGGGCCCAGTTATATAGCCCTCTACTTTCTAGATTATCATTTCTCAATCTTTGATAAAGTTTCTTATGAGAGGTAGGTTAGTGTTATGGAGGCTTCATAGTCTTACAAGTTCTCCATATTCCAAAGATTTGCTTTTAAAAAACAAAAAATAATTTTTAAAAGGTTTGGCCTTTCTGTTGTCTTACCTTTGCTCATATCCTCTCTTTGTAGTTTGTGGACAGTCCTGGCTTCATGAGTGTGACCTGTTCACCTACACAGGTGAACTCTGAAAGGCCTCACATTTGTTATTGATCTGCTATTAGTATGTAAAGTGGTGTTTTTTAGGAATTCTTAATAAGTTTTGAACACAGGGGGCACACATTTTCATTTTGCACTGGGCCCTGAAAATTATGTAGCTGATGCTACTTACGAATCCTCTGAGTCCTTAGTCACAGCTCTCCTTCGTGAACTCTTCCCAACCTCTTAGCCCATGGTTCTCTCTTTCTTCTGAACTTTTTTTCTCCTCTGAATTTTTGAAATGATTTCCTTTACCACCATTTACTAAAAACAGTCAGGTATTCCCCACATCCTACCCTATTTGCAGTTAGTCTTGTGCTACCTCAGGCTGTGGGTCTGATTGTTGTCTGATTTTTCATGTGATATTGCTTTGCCTCCACATGTAGGGGTTAAGTTTTAGGACACTGACTTTGAAATATGAGGATAGTAACTATGAACCGTGTTCTCCACCTGCCTCATCACAGACTCACAATTATAAAATCTGAGCTCAATATTTATTTGCTTAACTAGTATGTAATAGTGGGGCTCTGAATAATGAAATAAGGAAATGGACTCTTATTTTGGTACAAAATCATGTCCAGGCTCTGTGTATTATTTTCAATATTACCCTCAGACCTGAACTTTTCTCCAGCTACACCTGCCCTCTTGGGTCAGGAGACATGCCCAGAAGGAGTCTGTGACCCCCTTCCTGATATTCCCAATTTCAATGACCTGTGCTCATTTCTAGGGTTTGCATGGGGATTGCATATCTATCCACCACAGAATAAAATTACTGGGTTGTGAAGCAGGAATGTCCCAGCTTATTGTACTAGAAAATTGGTTTATTCGTAGGGGAATTAGAGTGTCTCCTTAAATTCAGTAATTTAATGACAAGTATCAGCAATTTTAATTCTCTTAGAGTAATTCACTTAAATTAATTTATAATCAGCCATTGACAGAAAGAGGATACTGCTAGCATACTGGTAGGATTTTAGGGATTCACAACTCTACCTTTCTCTAATGCACAGTTTTCTAATATATTTTAAACTGCCTTTCCCCAAACTCTGTCTTCTTAATGTGCCTATTTTGTTCACGAGAGCAAAAAGAAAAAAATCAGTTCTAGAACATCTGAACATTCTCTCATGGAGGAAAAAGGAAATTGTAAGGCAGTGCATTCCCATTCTCTAGCCCCACATCTCCCTTGACAGTGGCTGGTCCCAGCTCCTATTACAGTGTGACACTTAGCAGAGCAATGTCCCTTGAACACTGTGTTCAGCTCAGATCTGACCATGGCCACTGACTTTGTGTTCTTCCTGCTGAAAGCTGGAATTTGAGGCTCACAAGGGACTCACTTTGCTGTTTTTTTTATTTGCTATAGCTCCAAAGTGTCTCTTTGCTAATACTGATACTAATCACAAGGTAAGAGTCGGCTAACTTTCAGGTTGCTTCCTACCTTTTTTCTTATCTCAGAAGGAAAGTATATATGTCATGAAATATTTTAATTAATCCTTATCTTTCTTGTTAACCTTAAGTATTATGCTACTAGATCTGTAGCCAAAAGACTTGCCCATTTTCAGATAAATCGTTATCATTGATGTTTTCTTTTTGCTTTTGTGCCTTGGGTGACTATATAAGTTATCATCTAAATGTAATACTTTTGAAGAGGAAAGGAGGGAATGATATAACATCATACCTGGACAATATATGTAAACTGGGTTTGACCAGGGCACATCTTCTTTACTTAAGCCACTTAAACATAAGCACTCATGGTGAATTGATTAATTAAAGTTATTAGCTTTATGGCAGTGGATAAGTTATACAAATTTTCCATGTTTCCACTTTATTTTCTTTTGTTTTTGACCAGCAAAGTGTGAGAAAATAATTGTTCCTATCTCAGAGTCAATGGGAGAATCGAGAAAATGTCTATAAAATATTTAGCTGAGTTCCCTGCATAATAATGTTAAATTTTACTCCCATGATTAACGACAAGTAAGGAGAAATTTGTATAGCTTGCTTTTCAAATGATAATTTCTTGGAGTTGGAAGTGTAATTAGATTGTATTGATAGGACTAGTTCTGAGTTCAAGTTAACCTTAACCAGACTTCTGTTCTCATTTCAGATTTTTGGGTTCCTGGTATGCTTGGGCATTATTCTTGCAATAGGAAATTCAATCTGGGAGAATCAAGTTGGGGACCAGTTCAGAACTTTCCTTTTCTGGAATGAAGAAGAGAAGAACTCCTTGTTCTCAGGATTCTTAACATTCTGGTCATATATTATTATTCTCAACACAGTTGTACCCATTTCATTATACGTGAGGTAAGATGACAGTTTACACTTCACTGACGCCTTTTCATTAAAAGCCTTTGTTTTGCATGGTCGCTTTTGTCTGTCGTAAAATTGCAACAGTGAAATGGATGTCTCTCTCTGTCTATGATTTGCCACATCTGTTACAAAGGAAGCAACTACACTGGGGAATCTGTTTAACTTTTACATTTCCAAATTACAGTAAGTGTGTTTTATTTTCTTCTTCATTCAATTCTTTTTCTTATGAATCTTTTTCTTTGGAATATGTGGACTATACTATAATTGCATCCAACCTGATCAGTTAGATTTGGGTTGATGTTGGGTAAGAAATAAAAGGATATTTGGGGAGATCTATGGTGATGGTGCCTCCCTGCTTCTAGTCTGGCTCCAGACACCCGAGTTCAGATCCTGTCCTACACTAACTAACTCTGTCAACTGGGCAAGTTAACTGGCCTTTCAGTGACTCAGTTTTCTCATTTTAAAACTAGAGAAAACAATAGGATTGTCTGAGGAGTAAACAAGCATGTAATACTCTTAGAAGGATGGCACATTGTAAGAATTTAATGAACATTAATTATTTCTATTATTATTTGTAACTATAAAAGAGTACATGAAGAAGTTGAAGTACAGTTGGTGGTGCTTAACTATTATTAAATAGAAGTATGATTCATAACTTCTACTATGACTTGGTCTGTCATTTCTAGATTTGGTCCTATGAACTAGAGCTAAAATGGTCTCACATAGGTACATAACATATGTATATGTATATAGATAAATATAGACTTATATACACACCTCTCTATATATGTACGTATATATTCATATGTGTGTGTGTTTGATAAGTTAGCCCTAGAGTCTGTACCTGTGACATTCTTGATCCTGATTTTACCAAGCCTGAGCCAGATGGTCCCAGAGATGCTGGAGCCAAGAGCAGAGTTGGTTGTTTGACTCCTCATCACCAGTGTTTTAACAATACACAGCACTACCAGCTTTAAATTTCCACTAATTTTTATGAGCTTCTTTTTCTCTCTTTCCAAAATTCTAGCTATGATGAAGCAAGGGAAGTTTAATGCACTAATCCACCCTTGTTTTGGATAGTGGTCAGGGCTCTGAAATGTCAAGTTGTGGGAAACTGACTTGAAGTAGTGGCATATGGCCATAACACCGCAAATTGCTTTGAGCCTTCTGAAACTGTGGCCAGAGCGGGGTCTACTTAAACTGCATCGTGCTAGCTCATCTTTGGTTCTGAGGACCTCTCAAGCTTCTATCCAATTGTAAAGTCTGTAGTAAATCCTGGTCTTTGCCAGAAGCTATGGTCAGCTTTTATAGCTTTCCTTTTATGTCCTAAATGAATAATAAATGTTCATAGTGGCTTACCACCAGTACATGTGCAGTTTCTTACGTCCTCATGAGGGAAATGTATTCTATATACGCCCTTTCTTTGAAGTGCATTGGCAATTTTCATTTAATGATTTGAAAGGTCTTTTATTTTTTTATTTTTTATTTTTTTTGAGGCCAAGGCTGGATTCCCAGGTCAGTGTTCCTTTTCCTGTCAGTGTGTCCCTTGCAGTGGTGGAAAGAAAATCTGTTTGGAATAATCCAAACCCAGGTTCTGGTCTTGGCACTGCCACTGATAGCTGTGTGACCTTGGAGAAAGCACTTGGCTTCTCTCTGCCTTAGTTTGCCTGTCAAATATGTGCTGCTCAGTAAAATGAGGGGTTTCAAATAATTGATTTTTGAGGGCTGCAAATAATACTACCTTACCTTTAGGTAACATTTTATATTTTATATAAAGTGCTTTCACATGCTTTATCTCATTTATATCTCCTAATGCTCTTAAGAAGTAGGGATTGCTGAACTTTTTAAAAAATGAGATGATTCACTCAGGATCATGGAGCTGGTTAGGGACGAACCAGGTTCCAAATCCAAGTCTTCTGACACTTGGAACAGTGTTTTTTCCTCTATGCCTAAGCTGTGTATGATTTAATAATCAGTGAAGATATCAGGAGAAAAAAGAGGCCAGAATTCTCTCTCTGTTGGTAAGGCGTAGTCCTGATGAAGACAAACATAAGGTTTGCTCTCTCCAAATAGAAACAGTGACTCTGATCTTAACTTGAGGGAAAAAGCATTCTGAGGAATAAAGTCTAACATTTACAACATGAGAACCCCCAGATACTTTTAAAATTTAAAAAAAAAATGATTGATGAGAGAAAGAGTGGAGGAGAAAGGCCTTCACTGTAAGCTTCCATTAGGCTTTTGAATAGGTACCAAGGATAAATTAGTGCCACATGCCACTTGAGAATAAAAGTGCAGAATTTACTTTGAATGGTTAACAATTCCACGTGAGCAAAGGACATTGACTGTGGTAAGATATTTCTATGCTGTCAATTTGTTTATCTGTGGTGTTCAACATAACCAGCTATGGTTTTTTAATGTATCAACTTAAGAAATGCAGCCATTGTACTCCCAAGGAATTAGCTTTTAAGTGTTTTTTCCAAAGCAACAAGAACTCATTTCCGTTGCTTGTTTTGCCACCGAACTGGGGATTTAGACGCCCTGCTCAAAGAGCATCCAGGCAGAAAACATTGTGTGGTGAGATCTTGCTAACTCTCAACATTTCTATCCTTTTCTTTATTATGAAACAAAGAGCTGAATGTTCCACTGTGACGCTCTTACATCCTCTTTTCCCAAACAAAAAGGATGCGCTTTCTCTCTGAGGACTATTTTAGGGTCTAAGAATTCAAATTAATTTAGAGTACTTCTATTGGGTTGTACTGCAACACACAAGGATCAAATTCTGTTCCATTCATTCTGCCTGGAGTTTCCAGGGAGCTACTTTACTTTCAAACAAATGAAAGCTTCAGCTGACTGTACAGTTACCACCATAATGCCCTGATGGCATTCTCAAGGTCAGGTCTGCACCGGCTTTATCAAAGGCCGAAATTCTGGTCTCGGCTCTGTGGTTAGTTATTTATGTGACCCTGGGTTAGTCACTTAACCTCTATTAATGTCTTTATTGATAAAATTAATGAATAGAGAGTCAGAATTCATCTGTACAATACTGATCGACTGCCTATGACAGGTAAGGCCCTGTGCCTGTGTGCACTAATGCCTTTGGAGTGATGGAATTAGGAAAACAAAGCTGAATTAGAACAGCCACCAAGGAACTTATAAGGAACTGTGTGTGCCAGGAAGGGTAGGAGTTGGGAGGGGGGGGTGGTGCTGGTGGTGGATACAGAATAGTAAACGATAACAGGAAATATATAAATAAACATGCAGAATATGACTTCATTTTGTTTACTTGTATCTCATTTATTTACATACATATTCTCTGAAACAGCTAGTTTCTGATTTCTGTGTAACATAAAAAATTCAGTTATCAAATTTTAACAGAAATTAAATTTCCACAGACAGTTATACTTATTTTTTTACTTTATTTTTATTGTCGACACTATTACAGATGTCCCCAATCCCTCACACTTTGTCCAGCCCCGCCCAGCGCCTCCACCCCTGTCCCTCCAGCCATCACCACACTGTTCAAAGCATGACATTTATTTTTATATCATATGATTCTACCAAGTCGTAATGTGATTTTTAGATTGGGTGTAAAAATGTGTTACCATTTACATGGTTAGAAAATGAACTGGCACCCATACCACTTTTGGGAGGGAAATGTAGATATGTCATGCAATTATAGAACTAGAAGTATAGAATTTAATGCCCCTAAGACACTTGGTTGTCCTCTTTTGTCTTCAAGGAGACAAATGTTTAGAAGTGGTGTAACAGACTGCTGTGGACTGTCTCATTCTATGGCTGAGAAAACCAAGGCTTAATTCCCACTAAAATCAGCAATAAGTGCTAGATCCTTGCTCTTACCATTACTGTTTTGTACTGTTCTGAATGTCCTTGTTAGTGTACTAAAACATGTGACTGAAATATCGATGACAAAAATGAGACATGAAACTAAAATGGAAATTACCCTATTAGAAATGAAGAACACAATGTGATTAAATTCTAGAAAATCCAAAAGAATGATTCTGTAAGACTATTAGTAAGATAATTCAATTAAATATCTGATTTTATCACACAATCACTTTTTTAATATTAAAAGAATTTTGACAGTTTTTTTTATTTATTTAACATTATATTTAACAGTAAAGATTTCCTTTAAGCCAATAACAATTTAGAAAATTTTCTCATTAGTAAAGAAATACGATGTCCAGAAACAAATCTACCGAACTGCAGTGTGGGCCTGTGTGCAAAACAAGGCAACACAGGATTAAAATTCTTTGCCAATAGAGGTACTTTTCAAAATTGACTTCCTAGAAAGATTTATCCTTCTTGAAGTTGTTTTAGGCATTATAAAATATTAGTTCTTTTCAAACAGTTAAGCATCTAACAGACAATAAAAATCCCAAATAAGTTTTATGACAAAGCTGATACATTGATTCTAAAGTTTATTTAGATGAACATGTTGATCCTATAAGGAAGAATAAATGAGTGATTATAGCTAAGAATTTTTGGAAAAGAAGAGAATAAATGTTCTTTTATCTCTTCTCAGTTATTGCAAAATTTTCTAAAGTGACAATAATGAAATCAGGAGATGCATTAAGTGACATACTAAAGAACAAAATTGCAAGTCCCAAAATAGAGTCTAGCGAGGAAAGTTATTTATATGTAACATGGAAGCAGCCCAACATAATAGGGAAAAAGTTCGTTGTTAAAGAAATGGTGACAAAAAGATTTCCCTTGGTAAAAATTGAAATTAGCTTTTCATATGTACATCATACTTCAAAAAATTCTTATAGTGATAAAGACTTAAATGTGAAAAAATTAGTAAAGAAATAAAAGAGTAATATTGATATCTGTATGTATAACCTTGGTACAAGGAGTGGCTCTCTAAGCAAAACTCCCAAAGCAGAAACTATAAAATGTGGATAAATTTAATAATTTAAAAAGAGAAAACTTCTGTATGTTAACAATAATGTAAATGTTAAAAGACAAATGATAAATTGGGTAGCATATTTGCATAATGTATATATATAAATTATAAATGTCTTAACAAATAAATCCATACACTAACATCTTAATAGGGAAAATAAAATAGGCAAATAACACAAATACATAATTCTGTGGAGAAAACAACTAGCCAGTAAAATATGAAACAAAACTTTAACACACTGAAAAGAAATTCAGTATACAGTAATTAGATGCATTTGCCTTGGCATCCAGTCAGAGATAATTTTCCATAACCTAATGGTGGAAATTTACATCGTTAGAACCATTTTGGAAATGAGTTTGGCCTCACGTGTGACAAAGATTGGAGATGTTCATACCCTTGGCTACAGAAATTTTACTTCCAGAGTTAGAAAGCCATAAATCACTGCTAGACCATAAGACAGTGCTCTTGTCCTGGGCAGCGAACAGACTAATATGACAACACACCCCTGTTTTCACTCAATATCTATTATGGTTTTCTCTGTGCTTGACGGAGATAATTTTTACCTCTTTTGGCAAAGCCACGTCAAGCAATGTATTGGAGAGTACATTCTCAACAACACATTTCTTTAGATGAGACGTCTGACAAATATCTTTAATAATAGTTTCTCCTAAGATTTAGGAGAGATGCTAATATATAACACAGGAAATCTGCATGGGGCCTGTTTAAAGTAAATAGAGAATCATGGGACCTCCCCTAAAGCTTTATGCAAAGCCAGACTGTTGTTTCATGGTGCCGTAAGGAAATAATGTAGAAAAGTTTAAGAAACAGACTCTGCTGAGATGCTTCTGAAGGTCACTAGGGCCTAGGGACAAAGCAGCCACATTTGCTTCTGAACTCCGAAGACTTTGGCAGACTCCTTACTTTGGCAAAGCTTTGTAAGTTCTGAAATTGACGGAGCATTTCTTTTTTCTTTTTTCCATTTTAATGGATGAAAGTGTGGAAGTAATTCGTCTGGGACACAGTTACTTTATAAACTGGGATCGGAAGATGTATTACTCTGAGAGAGCTACACCCGCCGAAGCTCGAACAACCACGCTCAACGAGGAACTGGGCCAGATCGAATATGTTTTCTCTGACAAAACAGGCACCCTCACTCAAAACATCATGACTTTTAAAAAATGTTCCATTAATGGGAGAATCTATGGTAAGAGAAATAGTTCTTTTAAAAAATGGTATTGTTAATGCTCCCTTAAAAAATAAGCAAGTCTATTTTTTCTTATTAAGAAATCCCAAACCACTGCTGCCTTCTTGTCAATATGGGCACCACCAGCATCTAACATCATACTTAGCACTCACTAAATATTAAACACCCACTTAATATTAGTTGGATGAATGTCGAATAATTTAGATGAAACTGGATTTATTACCATCCATAGAGAAGGTAGAGAAGGGGCTTAAATGTGATACTCTCCGAGGTTCTCTCTGAGGTTTCGTTCAGTGTTTGAACTGTGCGATCCTGTTCTATGGCAGTTAATGGACCCATATCCCAGGGAGGACAAGTTCTTTGTTGTATTTTTTTAAATTGTTATTTTTCCCATTACCATTTATCTCCCTTATACTCTTTTCTACTGCTACCTCCCCCTTACCCCCAGCAATTCCCACACTGTTGTCCTTGTCTATGAGTTCTCTCTCTCGCTCTCTTTTTTATGTGTTCCATCCCTCTTTGTAGTATTTTATACTTGCTTCTGGTCAGCTCTGGCATGATGTCAGTGCCTGTGTTTGTGAGATTTGACTTGAGTAGCCACAGGAGCTAGGTCATCACTATGCAGTTCCTGTTTGCTTTTGTCAGGATGCCTGCTCTGTATTTGGACTTCAAGCATTTTATTTAGATGGGATCCTTGTCACCCTGACTTTGGCTGATTTGCAGATGGTTCCTTCTGCTGAGAACATGAAAGCTCTGCAGAAGGTTTCTATTGGGTCCCCCTGGACTCCTGATCTTACCTCACTGGATTCTGAGTGTCCAGTTTCTCCCAACAAATCTCAGGAAGTAAAAGAAATCCAAGAAAAAGAGGAAAAATTCCCCTTGTCTCTTGATGGGAAACCTCACATACTGTGGAATATTTTAAAGCAAGATTTGACCTGGAAAAAAGCTGAAAGTACAAGAAGTTGATTTTTATGTTCTCCTGCTTTTTGTCCTTCCTCTTTCAGCCCACCCCTGTCACTCAGGGTCACCTCTCCTCTGCCCCCCATCCTTCTTGGATAGTGGAGCAGATGCTTCTTGACCTGGACTTCCACAAGCCCTCAGCTACACTGTGCATTTTGTACATCACTATCATAATGACTAGTGAATAAAACAGAACATTTCCTTACAAAGTGTTTTTGGACATTATTTTTAAAGGCTTTCTAAAAGTAGAAGAGTACTTTAAATGGGAAAATTTTAGTTAGAGTATTGGAGATATTTTGAATTTGGAGGGCCTTTTAAATTATTTTACCATGACACATACTGATAATATAATATCACTTCTAGAAAATGATGTTGAGGAAGTTAGCAGACATGTGGGCTGAGATTTGTTTGTAGAGATGTGTGTCACTGGGCTATTTTTAGAGAAGACCCTTGATTTTCACAAAGGATATAACCCAAGATCTTTGCAAATCTCCAAATTTACAAATCCCCTGAAAGCTTTAATTTCCCTCATAAAATGCAGGAAGGTAATTGAAATACTTAAGTAACCCCTTTAGGCCCTCAGTTTATATGCCATAATAATTTATGATGCATTCATGATGTCATTAAAATATATTCTTACTAAAGCACTCACAGAATGTTTCACAATAACTTTTTCCTGTTTTTATACACTTTGGTTTTGTTTATATCACAGATCTAGGCCTTGGGAAATTTTGACATTCCACTCTGATTTATCTAAATCTTTTATTTTCTGACTCAGAACTATTATTTTCCTTATACCTCTTTAATTTTTCTTCACTCCCATCATAACCCTAAAAGTGAGCTCTCTTTGAGGGAAACATTTTACACAAAGACACAGTTTTGTTTTGTTATTACTACTTATTAGAATTACTGCATGTGGGGTGATGGCTAGAACATAAGCACAGAGAGTTTGAGATTTAAATTCCAGGTGCTTGGTGAGGTTCACTCATTAACTCAGGGACTCCTCCCACGTGCAGCTACACAGCATCCCAGATTGAGACCTGGGCCCCAGAAAACCAACAAATAACTGTTGGTCAAGTGTTGTTTTTGGTCACAGCATTATGTAGTGAGAAGAGAGGCTGAGGTTCAAAAATCCACTATGCTGCCTCTTCAGTTTTATTTAGTCATGTAACTTTGAACCCAGTTCTTCAGTTCACTCATCCATGAAACAGAAAAGAAAAATCTTCATCTGGTAAGTTTGTTATAAAGATTAGTGATAATGGTAGTGCCCAGCACAGGATTGATTCAAATAATTCTTATTATTATTACAAGAATTATAGTCCTGGCAAATAATATTAAACCTTTGAATGCCAAACAAAAATTAGAAAAAAAATCATAAAGACCTCCAGATAGGTTAAATCTAAAATAAATTATGCTACCATACAACCATTCAAAATTAAATTCACAAAGAACTTTTAATGACAGCAGAAATTCTCATACTCTAAGTAGTTAAAAACAGCAGGAAGCAGAAATTTATGAATAATATGATGAATGTATATATACACACTCATATATACAAATGCATACACATACAATCAACCCACAAATAACTCTACAAATATTGATTATCTCTGGGTGGCAGGACTCTTACTAATTTTTACTTTCTACTGTAAATGTTCTGTATTTGACAAATATCTATAATAATCACATATTGGCTTCATACTAAGAAAAGTTATTTTTAAAGATCTGGCACATAGGTGGCTATGTTCTCTGCCTGCAGAAGACACTGACATTGTTTAAAGTTTACCTGCTCATCTGACCTTCATGTTACACAGATGTGTCTGGCCTCATCCAAGATACACAAAGATGTTCTTGCCAAACTCAAGCATTCACGAGAATTGGTCTGTATAGGGTATAATTTTGGATTCCCCAACAATGGAGATAAAGTAGAAGACAAAATTTGCCTCTGAAAAACACTTCAGATGATGTAATGACAGGCTGAAAAAATTTTAGAAAAACGTGATCGCAGGTTTTGTATTTTGTTTGCATGTATATTGCATATTAGTTCTATCTTGGACAAATGTGAGTATCTCTCTGTGTAGGTCGCCATGTTGAGGATCACAGTTGGGAAACAGTCATAAAGTCTGTGTTTGAACTCATAGTGCCATCCAGTAGTAGTGCTTTAATAAATAAATGTATTCCTTGAGACTAAATGTCTAAATCTAGTTTCAATTTCATTTATTTTTAATTCTCAATTTTTGTTTGGCAGGTGAAGTAGATGATGACATGGATCAGAAGCCAAACATAATTAAGGTGTGGAGGTGATAATATTTCATTCTCACTTTTAAATTCAAACTGCATGCATTTTAAAAATGATCAGCTCCAGCTCTGGCTAGTGTAGCTCAGTGGACTGGCCTGTCCACTGGCCTGTGAGTCAAAGGGTTGCCAGTTTGATTCCCAGTCAGTCCTGATGCCTAGGTTGTGGGCCAGGTCCCTAACAGGGGGTGTGTGAGAGGCAATCGCACTTTGATGTTTCTCTCACTCTCTTTCTCCCTCCCTTCCCCTCTCTAAAAGTAAATAAATGCTCTTTTAAAAAATAAAAAAAAATGAGGAGTTCCTGGAGGTCTGATTTCCATTATGACCAGATAAGATACATAATATTAAAAAAAAAATCCATGTGGTTCAAAATTCCTCCTCATTCAGGACCCCCAACCACAGAGTTCCCACTGTTTTTATTTTTTTAGAGATATTTATGTATATGCAAGCAAATATAGTTCTCCATTTTTTATGGTAGCATATACTTGTATGTACTGTTCTTCAACTTTCTTTTTCACCAATGTATCTTGGAGATTTTTCTAGATCAGTTAAAAAAAAAGTGCTCTTTTATTCTTTCTAATGAACACATAGTATCTTGTTATATTAATGTTCTGTAATTTATGTATGGGGACACTTAGACTAGCAGGATATTTCTTATTTTGCTAGGAAAGAATATACAGCAAAAATAAGTGTATACATGTGCTGTTTCAAATGGATTCTATACTCTCTAACAAGTTGCACTTTTAGAAATGCATTCCTAAATCAAAAGGTATGTGCATTTATCATTTGATAAATGTTGCCAGGTTACCCTCTTTAGAATTTATACCATTTACCCTCCCACAAGTACCCTCATCAACACAATGTTTTATCAGAGTTTGATCATTGGCAAAGTATTTGAAAAACATTATATCAAAATCATTCTGATGTTAATTTTTCTTATTATGAGTGAGGTTAATTTACTGCCTATGTTTTCTTCTAGGATTTTTATGGTTTCACAATTTACATTTAAGTCTTTTATTCATTTTGAGCTTGTTCTTGTGTATGGTGTAAATTGCTGGTCTCGTTTAATTTTTTCCATGTTCCTGTCCAATTTTCCAACACCATTTATTGAAGAGACTGTCTTTATTTCATTGTATGCTCTTTCCTCCTTTGTCAAATATTAAATGACCATAAAGGCATGGGCTTATTTCTGGGCTTTCTGTTTTGTTCTACTGATCTATATGGCTGTTCTTATGCCAGCACCAGGCTGTTTTGATTACTATGAACTTGTAGTATAGTAAAATATTAGGTATTGTGATCCTTCCAACTTTGTTTTTCTTTTCTTTTGTATGTTTTTAGACTCTCATTTATTTCTGCTCTGATCTTTGTTATTTCCTTTCTTCTACTTATGGGCTTTATTTGTTGCTCTATTTCTAGTCCCTTAAAGTGTAAAGTTCGATTTTTTATTTGAGATTTTTCTTGTTTCTTGATGTAGGTCTGTGTTGCTATAAATTTCCCTCTTAGGACTGCCTTTGCTGTGTCCCATAGGTTTTGGGTTGTTTTGTTTTCATTTTTATTTGTTTCAAGGTATCTTTTGATTTCTTCCTTGATCTTATTGTTAACCCACTCATTGTTTAGTAACATGTTATTTAGCTTCTGTGTTTTTGTGTGTTTTTCAGTTTTTTTCTTGTGATTGATTTCTAGTTTCCTATCATTATGGTCAGAGAAGATGCTTGATATAATTTCAACCTTCTCCAATTTAATGAGACTTCTTTTGTATCCTAACATTGTCTATCTCAGAAAATGTTCCGTGTGCTCGTGAAACAAATGTATATTCCACTGCTTTGGAATGAAATGCTCTGAAGATATCAATTAAGTCCATGTGCTTAAGTGTGTCATTTAAGGCTGCTCTTTCTTTGTTGATTTTCTGTACAGAAGACCTATCAATGGATGGCAATGGGGTGTTAAAATCCTCTGCTATGACAGTATTATTGTAGATCTCTCCCTTTATGTCCATCAACTTTTGCTTTACTATACAAGGGTTTTTTACTCTTGTTAGATGGATCCCTTTATCATTGTGTAGTGTCTTCCTTTGTCTCTCATTGTAGCCTTTGTTTTAAAGTGTTTTTGTCATATAGATATTGCTAACTCAGCTTTTCTTTTTCATTTTCATAAAATATCTTTTTTCACCCCTTTAAGTCTATGTGTATCTTTTGTTCTGATGTGGGTCTCTTGTAGACAATGTGTATATGGACCTTGATTTTTATTATCCATTCAGCTATCCTATGTCTTGTATTTGGAGGATTTAAGCCATTTACATTTAAAGTGATTATTGATAGGTATGTATTTATTGCCATTTTATTGTTCCTAACTGATTCTCTGTTTTTTTCCTTCTTTTTCTTTTTCTTCTTAAAGAAGACCCATTAGCATTTCTTGTAATACTTATTTGGTGGTAATGAACTCCTTTAACTTGGTATGGTCTGGGAAATTCTTTATTTTATATATATATATGGTTGAAAAGGAAAGGAACTATTTATTGAAAAGTTATATAGACTTAGAGTAATGACTTAATGTCTTCATTAAAATCCCAAAATTCCTTAAAACACCCACAAACACACACTGTCCTCCCCCCCCGCCTTTTGCCCAGTCTGGGGTACTGTATCTCAGGAAGAGAAATAGAAGTCCATGGCTCAGGTAGCCCCTGGTTCTTCCCAGTAATCCGTGCTTGGCTGGCAGGCCTCCCTCAGTTCCCAGCACCATCAGCTGTTTTGGCAGGATCTCCAGTTCTTAATCTAAAACCACGTGGCACCTTCTCAGGTCCACTAGCGAGAGTCCTTTCACCCCTTTCCTTCCTGCAACATGTCTCCTGCATTCTTCTGAACTGCTAAAAGAGAGCTCTGCATCATTGCTACATCCTGTTTTCCAGCTTCCTAAGCTGCATGGCAAAGGGGACCTCAAAGCCACGTAGTTCCAAACCTCACCAAAGGCTTGTGGTCCTGCCTCTCCTTCAATTTTAAATGATAGCCTTGTTAAGGTAGTCTTGGTTGTAGGTCCTTGCTTTTCATCACTTTGAATATTTTATGCTAATCCCTTCTTGCCTGAAATGTTTCTGTTGAAAATGACCTGTCATTCTTATGAGAGCTCCTTTGAAAGTAATTAATTGCCTTGTTTTTGCTACTTTTAAGATTCTCTGTCTTAACTTTTATCATTTTTTTAATGATGTGTCTTGGTGTGGGCCTCTTTCAGTTCACTGCACTTCCTGGACTTGTGTGTTTTCTTCACCAGATTAGGGAAGTTTTCAGTTATTATTTCTTCAAATAAATTCTCCATCTCTTATTCTCTCTCTTGTCCATCTGGCATCCCTGTGATGTGGATGTTGTTATGCTTCATGTTGTCACAAAGGTCCCTTAAACTATTCATTTTTTAAAAAATTCTTTTTTCCTTTTGCTGCTCTGATTGGGTGTTTTCTGCTATCTTGTGTTCTCAATTGTCAATTTGATCCTCTGCTTCATCCAACCTATTGTTTATTCCTTCTAGTGTATTCTTCATTCAGACACTGTATTCATTTCTGACTGGTTCTTTTTTATTACTATCTGATTCTTTGTTATGGTGTTGTTCTCACCAAGTTTTCTTTAGTTATCACTAAGTTCCTTGAGCATAATTATAAATTTTTTTGGAACTCTATATCTGTTAAATTGCTTGCCTCCATTTCATTTAGCTTTTTTTTCCTGTAGATTTTGTTCTGTTTTTTTTTTATTTTTTTTATTTTTTTATTTGGGGCATGTTTCTCTGTCTCCCTCTTTGGCTACCTCCTTCTGTTTGTTTCTACGTGTTAAGTAGATCTGTTGTTTCCCAGACTTGGTAGGGTGGTCATATGTAGTAGGTGTCCTGTGGGATTCAGTGGCACAGTCTCCTTGACAACATGAGCTGGGAGCTCCAGGAATGTCCCTTGTGTGGGTTATGTGAGCCCTCTTGTTATAATTGACTCTTGATTGCTATTGGCCTGTTTGTGCATGATTTTGACCCTCAGGCTGACAGACTGTGTGGCCGACCTCAACCACAGTATATAAGCTGCTGTGTAGGTGCTGACCACACTAAGCAGAATTTGCATCAGCAGAGTCTGGTGTCTGCTGAAATATCTCTTGAGATATACCACTTGTGAAGCTAACTAGATCCTGCTCTGATGCTGTCTGAAGCTGGCCATTGGGTGTGTTTGTTCTGGGGTCTCTTGGGAGGGGCTCTGGTGCAGCTCACTGTCAGACACTGCTTGTGACTGGCCCTGGGCAACCTGTTCAGAACTACAAAATGGTCCATAGTTTGTGGCTGCTCTGTTGGGCCTGGATGTGCATGAGAAGGATCAAACTGTGCAGCAATGCTAGATTCCACCAACATCAAGTCTGGGGGCCGGTTAGCAAAAGGCCCGAGGTACCCTGAGATCCACTTCTGCCTGCCTCTGCTTTCTGGTTGCCTGTTAGGCTCAGTCACTGAAAGAACCTCTAGAAGTACTCAAGTTGCATGAGGAAGGTTCTCAGTGAGTCACCAGGTAGGAGTGAGTTGTGTTCACCAGATTGATACAGGTTCAATCTCGGTGCCCATGCTGGGTCTGAGGCTATTCAGCACAAGTCCCAGGATATACCGTGTCTAACAGCCACCAGCCAGTTGCTTTTAGACCTCTGTGGTGTGGTAGTGTCTCAGGAAATTATGAAGATGAGGCCAGCAGAATTTATCAGGTCCATACAGACCAAGATTTGGTCATTTGAAGGGAGGGCTCTGCACCACTGAAAATACACGGGAAAAATGTCCCACCCCATTTGGGAGCCATACAACACAGTGTATCCCAGATTCTTCCAGAAGCCTGAGCTCAGCAGGGAGGGACCATTGGGAGTCACAAGGGTAGGAATGGTGGATTTTCTGAGAGAGGGAGTGCTGGTCATTCTTGGGGGAAGGAGAGGGGTGTGGCCCCTGTCCCAGAGCCACATAACTCAGTCACTGATACCTCCTGAGTCTCCCTGGACCTTTAACCCCCTGCCCAGGCACCTGACTCTTTAGCAGGTTGTGAGCTCCACAGGGCAGGAAATAGGGAGTTTAGAGGGTGGGGCTACTGCTCTCCCCTAGGCTGATGCTGTGTGGAAGGGAGTGCTCCACCCAGGAAAGATGCCATTTGTGGTGTGGGAGAGGGACTCAGCACAGGTCCTGTGAGCTGTCCCTTCAGCTCTCTCTCTAGTGCCACAAACTACTGTCTCTTCTCCCATGATTCTGGTCCACACTGCTCTCCCTCCCCTAGAGCCCAGGGTGAGTGGCTGCCAATGATATTTTGTGCATTGACCCTTTAAGAGAGCACTTGTGTCTCTAGCAGACTCTGTCTCTCCCTGGCGGACAGAATCCCCACTGATTTTCAAAGTCAGTGGTTATGTGAGTGTCTTCTAGCTCTAGTGCTCTGGGTTAGGGAGCCTGGGGTGGGGTTAAGATCTCACATTCCTCAGGGGGAACCTTTGCAGCTGAGATATCCTTTTGGGATCTTAACTGCCACCTGTGGGCGTGGGTCCAGATCTTTTCACACTTCTGCCCTTCCTACCCATCTTGATGTGGTGTCTTCTGTAAATCCTTGGTTATAAAACTTCTGCTTAGCTAGTCTTTGGTTGGTCCTTCAGGTTGATTGTACTGTAGTTTAGTTATAATCCTAGTTTGGTCCTGGGAGGAGGTGAGTGTAACTTTCACCTACTCCACCACAATTTTGGATCTTTTAATACATACTCTTTATTCATTCGTCTGTTGATGGACATTTATGTCATTTCTACTTATTGGCTAGTGTGAGTAATGCTGCAATGAACATGTGAGTGCAAAATATCTCAAGATCCTAATTTTAATTCTGTCATTATATTATGCAATATCTCCAGTGAGATCTGAGAAACTATTCTATATTCAAACACAGTATGTTTGCTTCAGAAACTATTATTTCACACTAAACAGGCTAAAACAGGCTGTAATTAGACACGTGTCATTCTAGGTCAGATATTGCTGCCAAAATGAGTTGAAGTCACATGAGGCTTTGCTATCGAGTATATTCTGGAAAAAAACTTACAGTTTTCAGGGGTTTTTATGTATTTTGGAATTGCCATAAGCATTTGAGGATCTTTACAGCCATTGGATATTTTTTCCCCATATGCTTTCTGAAGATTCACTGTTTGCTGCATGGCTCTGAAAGGAAAAAAAGCATTTAACAGTAATGGGGAAACAGAAAGTCATTTTAGTGCCAGACATTTGAGGCTGAAAAATCATATATGCACTAAAAATGCTTAGAGGAAATGTTTTTGAATTTTAAAAGATTATTGTTGAAATGAGTTCTAGTTTTGCTGCTGTTGTTCTCCTACAGAAAAAAAAGCTTATGAATTTCTCAGTCATCCCCCAGGGAGATAAAACATTTCAGTTCTCGGACCACTGTCTGATGGAATCCATCAAACTGGGGGATCCCAAAGTGCATGAGTTTCTGCGGTTACTTGCTCTCTGCCACACTGTAATGTCGGAGGAAAACAGTGCAGGTAAGTGAATGAAGGTGTGTCTGAGTGGTGAGCCTTGGTTTTTAAATCAGAACTAATATTTCTATTTAACATTTTTGGAATTGGAAGGATTTTCTAATTAAAAATACAGCTTTGCATAAGGGGCTTACCTATAACACTAGCTTTTTTCTTTGTATTTATTTATATCCCAAATGTTTTCCACTTATCTTTTATTATTGCCATGCACATATAATAAATGCAGATGACCATCAGGTGTATGCTTAGAATGAATTTTTTCAGTGAGATGGTTGTTCAGAGCTCAGAGTTCCTACAATAGAACAAAATCAGTGGGGCCACTTTAAAGCTGAAGAAATAAGGTGGGTAGGTAACGGTGTTAATGAACTAACTTCTTGTTTCATTCAAGCCCAATTTATTTTATTTGCAAGTTATTTTTTCTTTCTACTATCAACTACTAACTAAAAAGTGCTACCCAAATAATTTTACTCAAAAGTGAAATATATATATATAGACTGTAAACTGTATGTGTTCATATGTGTATATATGTGATAGATATGTGCATATGTATATATGTGCATATATACACTTGTGTATATTATATATATATTTTTTCTTTGTTGGAACTACAGTCAACCATAGTTCTGCCCTTGATGATGCTGGATTAACCCATTCCTCACATTTTTTTTTTTTGCTGTGAGGATTCGCATAATTACATTTATGATTTAAAGTTATCTTTATAATACTAATGCCAGTAATTATTATATTTCACCTGAGGATATCACGATACCTTTAAGTAAGCTTCTTTTATGTCTGTCTTTGAGTTTCTTTCATTTCCCATGCTCTTTTATTTTAATTGCAATCTGTTTTTAGTGTTATGATATTTTTCTTAGATATCTTTGAAGATATTAATTACACTTAATTTGAAATATTCTTTGTTTTCTCCACTTTCATTTTTTATGTTTTCATTTTGTGGAATGTTATTATTTGAGTTTTGTGTCTAGCTTTTATGTTGCTCTCAAATGCTCGATGATTTGTGGTGGTCTGTTTTCATTTGTGTTTGAGAATCCCTGTTTGCCTCTTGGTTAATGTAGGTTCTGATTACAGCAGCAGCCTGCCTGCCAAGATGGCTGGGGAGAGGCAAAATACACACTTGTCATGTAGGTGAGGGATTCCTCTCTCCTGGAATTCGTATGCTGCCTGGGTTTAACTTTCTTTATTCAGATCCAGTGCTGGGAGTCTGTGCCAGAACTCCCATTTGAGAGAGATTTGTACTTAAGGTCTGGCCTTGGAGAAGACCTCAGATTCATTGAGGTCCTTTTTCTATGCTCTTTTTTCGTATCCTTGTGGAATTCTGAAGCTACTTCAGGCTCTTCTCAGTCTGGTCTCCAGACCCAACAAATCTTTGAGGTTTCCTTAAGTAGGTGGTACACTTTGTATTGAAGAACATTTTCAACATTTTATTTTGGGAGTGACTGTCACTGCAGACTGTTGTTTAGAGTAAGCTGGCGGGAGGAAGAGCCCAAATGGTCCAGAAGTGCTGAGTGGAATTCAATTAATTTTACCAATGCTCCTCCAAGACCACGCCTGCTTTCCTCTTTTTTTGACTCTGAGTTTGGAGAATCTTTGAGCACTGCTCTTGCTTTGAGCTGTGGTTTTCTTCTTATTTCTTCATTGATGAAAGCTACTTTTTATTTTTCAGACATTTCTCAAATTTCTAGCTGAATGATAATCATTTTTCTCTTTAAGTACTTAATTTTTTTCATAATGTGATATAATTAAATGCAATGAAACACAAAGATATTAAGTGTATTTGATGAGTTTTGACAATTATATATACTGTTATAACCATCACTCCAATCAAGGTACAAATTTTTTCCATCACTCCAGAAAGATTACTCATGTTTCCTTCCAGTCTACATCACCAACCCCTGTCCAGCCAACCCGTCCTGATTTCTATCATAAAGATGAGTTTTGCCTGTTTTTGTACTTCATATAAATGGAATGATCCAATATATGTTCTTTTGTGTCTGGTTTATTTCATACAAGGTAATGTTTTTGTTATCCATGTTGTCATATCAATCAATAATAGTTCATTTTTTATTGCTGAGTAATATTGCATTGTTTGACTATACCACATTTTTTTTCTTTACAATTCTCTGTTCATGCACATTTGGGTTGTTTCTAACTTTGGATTATTATGAGTAAAGCTGCCATAAACAATTTTATGTCTCTCAAAAAATATTTAACAAATTTGTTTTTGGTAAATACTTAATGGAAATTGCCAGATTGTAGTGTAGGTATGTTTAACTTTGTAAGAAACCTCCAACTATTTTTAAAAAATGGCCTTATCATTTTACATTCCTACTATCAATGCATGAGTATGCCAGTTCATTGGTTCTTGAAAACGTTTAGCATTATCACTCTTAAGTTTTACCCATTCTAATGGGTATTGGCTAATATACTCTTCTGCCATATAAAGGTATTTTAAGTGTAGAGAGGAAATGTATGTGTCCTTTGAACTACTTCTGTCTCTTGCCTTCAGATATTAAATTCTAAAGTGAAGGATTATATCACTGAGAAGGAGGAAATTATACTCTCTCTTCTTTTAAAGCTTTATATATATGATATATAACTTAAGGGCATGTATGTTAAAGTACATTGAAAAAATATAAATTTTTCTCATATAAATGTTACTTATGCAAAAGAACAGAGCCCAAATCTAACAAATTTAAAACTATAATTATTGTATAATTTATAGTTGAGGGTGTTGCTTTTATTTTATTTATTTTTACGTATATTTGTTACTCATCTTATATTGATTATATTAGCTTCAGGTGTAAAATATAGTGATTCAACATTTTTACACTTTGCAGTGTGATCACCCCACTAATTCTAGTAATCATCTGTCACTATGTAAACTTATCACAATGTTCTTGACTATAGTCCCCTTCCCCTTTTCATCCATTACCCCCACCCCTCCCTCTGGTAAGCATCCTTTTGGTCTCTGTCTTCTGCGTCTGTCTTTGTTTTGTTTTGTTTGTTTGTTTGCTTGTTTTTAAATTCCACATGTAAGTGAAGTCATATGGTATTTATCTTTCTCTGCCTGACTTATTGCGCTTAGCATAATACCTTCTAGATCCAGCCATGTTGTTACAAATGGAAAGATTTTATTCTTTTATACTACTGCATACTATTCTGTTGTGTGTATGCATATATATATATATATATATATATATATATATATATATATATATATATGCCACATCTTTATTCATCTATCAATGGCTTTTATTGGTGTGTGCTATTTGTTTCGTGGAGAAATAACTTGGAGAAATCAATATTCTCATTCCCTTTGCCAGGATGAAATTTTAGAATCAGAAAAGTGGAAATTACAAGCTTCAGTAGGGCTTTTATTTCTCTATTTTAGTGAATGGCAATTCAAGAGTTAAAAAATTAAAAATTTTCTTATATTCAATCACCTTATTATATCCTTTAAAATTTGTTGAGGCTTGCTTAATGGCCTAGTATGTATTCAATTTCCATAAATGTTTCATGTATGCTTGAAATGAATGTACATTTTACAGTTATTGGGTACTAAGTTCTAAATATATACATTAGATAATGTTTATTAATTATATTGTTCAATATTCTATCTCTGTGGATTATTTTGACTATTTGATTTCTCAGTTAATGAGAATATGCTAAAATGATCAATTATAATGGTACACTTGTCATTTCTATTTGTACTTTTGTCAATGTTTGCTTTATGTTTTAAGGTTATGTTATTAGATATTAGACTTATGTGTTCTTTAAAACTTCTATCAATATCCATATATAGATCCTCTTTATCTCTAGTAATATTTTTACCTTAAAGTTTATTTTGTTTGATATTAATATTGTTATAGATGCTTTCCTTTTGTTAATATTTGCATTATTTAGCTTTTCCCACTCTTTTCTGCTAATCTGTCTTTTTATGTTTTAGACACATCTCTTGTGACATAATTTTAATATGAACTAGCATTTCTACTATTTAAAAATATCTAGTTTGACAAACTAAAGTTTAAATGGAACATTTGGTCTATTTACTTTTATTGATTATTGATATTTTTAGATTTTAAGTATTGGGTATATATAATTATTAATATATTTATATTTATTTCTACCATTTTATTTTGTATGTTACATTTGCCCTATTTTTGTTTCTTAGTGTCTTCATTTTTTGTCGTACAGATTTAGTCCATTTTTACTTCTGCTGCTTTGGAAGTAATACATTCTTATTAGTATTTTTAATGGTTAGTCTAGAAATTTTAGTATACTTATCAAAGCCTAAGCCTTCTTTTGAACAAAGCAAGGATGTTAAGACCCTTCAATACTAATCAACCCTGTCTGATTTATATAGTACAGTGTTCTCATCATGTGCCTCCTTTTCTCATATCACAAGATTTTTTTTTATAATCAATGTTTGCTTAGATTTATTCATGTACTTATGAATTTCCATGTTCTTCAATGCTTTTCCTATCTCTGGTGTTCTGTTGACCTAGAGTGTGCTCTTTAGAATTTTCTTTAGGAAGAGCTTACTGTTAGAAAATTCTCAAAAACTTTGATGACAAATTTACTTCATCCTTTTTATTGAATGACGTTTTGTTGTGTAGAAATTTAAGGTGATGATTTCCTCTCAGTACATTAAAGATATTCTACTGTATTTTGGCTGCTATTTCTATTACTGTATAGTTAGCTGTAAGTATAATTTTGGCTTGAAGGTAATTGGTCTTTTCTTTCTGGCTACTTTTAAGACTCTTCTATCATTTTCTGAGTATATGTGTGAAATTTAAAAAAATATGTGTTGCTTGGGATTCATTGAGATTCTTGAATCTATAGAACGTCATCTTTTACCACTTCTGGAGTTGTCTCAGCCATATTTCTTCAAATATTGCCCCTGGCTAGTTTTTCCTCCCAGATCTTCAGTGTTAGATATCTTCACTCTACTCTCCTTTTAACAAGTCTCTCATTTTTCCATTTCTTTATCTCTGGGATATATTCTGGAACTTTATTTTTTTAGTATGCTAATTATTTTTCTAGTTGTATCTAATCTGCAGTTTTTGAGTTTTAATTTCTATGGGATCTTTATTTCTTTTTCAAATCTGCTTAATTTCATGCCTCTCTTTTATTTTTGGAAATCTATTAAATATTTGTGTGTGTTATTTCTGATAATTTCAATGTAGGGGTAACTAATGCTAACATTTGGTGGGAATCATTTTATCCTTTTCAGTTGCAGTATGTAGGTGGTGTATTTGTCTTTAATGAAAAGGAATCACAATATATACATTAATATGCAACTTGTTTTCTTAACAATTTATTATGACTATCACTATAAATCAGTAAATAATGGATCTAGCTCTGTCTACTTTTTAAAATTTATTTTTACATGCAAAGATAATATACTAATTTTATGTAGAAGGGCTTACTTTATACATACTGGTTTTTAAAGTTTATTTTTATATTATTTTTTTTTCATTCTTTTTCTCTCCTCTCCCCTCTTACCCTCACCCCAACACATACACAATATCAAGTGTCAAAGATTAACATCAGGTTTGATTATTTCAGTCCCAGGGGATTTCTCAGATACCTTCTCATGGAAAGGTCTGTAGTGGCAGAGTGAAGTGGAGTTTCGAATATCTGCTCCATTATTCTTTGACCATGTAACTTTGCAAAAATCATAACCTCTTTAGTCATAAGTTTCATCAGTATAAATGAAAATAATACTTTTTTTAAAGATTTTATTTTTTTTATTTTTAGAGAGGGGAAAGGAAGGAGAAAGAGAGAGAGAGAGAAACATCAATGTGTGGTTGCCTCTCGTGTGGCCCCCACTGGGGACCTGGCCTGCAACCCAGGCATGTGCCCTGACTGGGAATTGAACCTGTGACCCTTTGGTTCACAGCCCACACTCAATCCACTGAGCTATGCCAGCCATTGATGTGCAAGAGATACATTGATCTGCTGCTGCCTGTTGCACATCCCCAAATGGGGACCCAACTTGCAACCCAGGCATGTGCCCTGACTGGGAATTGAACTGGCGACCTTTCCGTCCACAGGCTGACACTTAATTCACTAAGCCACACCAGCCAGGGCAAGTATTTTTTAATAAGATGACAAGGGCTAAACTGTTGGTATGGATATCCCACAGAATAAGCACCTGGTCCAGCTGGTTGGTGAGTGGAAAAGGTCTGATTTCTGGAGCTAGCACTGGAATTCAGTGTTGAAGAGTGAGTTGGAGTTGGCAATGGCATTCTATGAATGTTAGCTGTTATTTTTAATATTAATACATTTATTTCTTTTCCTTTTTTAAAACCCATTTTCTTGGTTGATGTTTAATCTACTTATTTCTTTTCCTTTCAGGACAGCTGACTTATCAAGTTCAATCACCTGACGAAGGGGCTCTAGTGACTGCTGCCAGAAATTTGGGGTTCATTTTTAAGTCTCGGACCCCAGAGACAATAACAATAGAAGAACTGGGAACACTAGTTACTTATCAACTGCTAGCCTTTTTGGATTTCAACAATATCAGAAAAAGGATGTCTGTCATAGGTATGGTTGATAGTTGAGATTACTTTTAATCTTTGATAGTATAATACTATTGTTATATTGATACTTCTCAAGGATGACTTCATTCTTGGTCATAGGCTGAGAATTGTGATATTTTTGTAACTTTATGAACTTCTGTCATCCTCAACTTAGCCTCAGCCTCAACACCGTAGTAACAACTAACATTTAACACATTCTTATGTGTCCAGCGCTGTTCTAAACGCTCTACAATTCACGGGTGTCAAACTCATTTTCACCAGGGGCCACATCAGCCTCGCAGTTGTCTTCAAAGTTGGCTGAATATAATTTTAGGACTGTATGAATGCAACTACTCCTTATGTAGGGCCAAGGAGCTCTACATTTGGCCCTTTGAAGGCAACTGCGAGGCTGATGTGGCCCCCGGTGAAAATGAATTTGACACCCCTGGTTTACATGAACTGATTTAATTGTCACAAAAACTGTACTGTATTTTTATGATATTTTGAAGATAATAAAACTGAAACACAGAGAAATTGAGTCACCCGCCTAAGGTCACATAGCTTGAACTGGTATAGCTGGAAGTCAAATCTAGGAGGTCTGACCACCAAGCCCATTCATTTCATCACTATACAACACTGGTGCAGGGCGAGTTCCTGGCTTACATGGCACATGTTAGTTGTTGTCAACATTGTTGTTTTGTGAACATCATCAACATCATCAGCCTCCTCATTTTCATTCATTTACTCTGTTTACCTGCATTGCTGGAGATCATCACCAGAGACTGTATCAGCACCACAACAAATAATGCTTTTTAACTCTTGTTCTAACCCTTGGAACTGCGTCAATGTACTTTTCATCCTTACTTTGCTCCTGTTTCCAGTCCTTATAACAGATGTTCTAAGCTTTTGCCCTTGCCTCAAGTCCTTGACTCTGCCATGATCTCCTCACTCTTGGAAACAAATTCATCTGTTTCTCTAAAAAATATAGAGGTGTTCAGAAATGTGCACCATCACCTTACATTTTCCCTTATCCTCCTTCATCCCCAAGCTGTAACTTTACTCATTCTTTTTTTCTGCTTTTATTTCTTTTCAAAGCTGAAGATTCTACCCATTCCCCTTCTTTCCTTGTGTCTTTGATTTCTTCTTTCTCACTAACTTCTTCTTTTAGCCCACAACTCTATTATTATACCGTTTCCTTAAAGATATTTTTCATGTTCCAACCTCCACAGATTTTGCCACTCCATTTTTCTCTTTCCATCACAATCTATTTTTTTTAAGGTCAGTTTTTGCTCCTCACCTTTATTTATCTTTTCAGCCTATTAGGATGAGGCTTCTGCTGTCACTACTCAAGAAGAATGCTTTCTCAGAAGTTTCCAATCACCTCATAACTTCCCCAGCAGTTGTCTTCTTTATCTGTCTACCTACCTATACCTATCATTCATCCATCCATCCATCCATCCATCCATCCATCTCATCATCTACATATCTATCTGTCTACTTACCTACCTACCTATCTACCTTTTTAAACTGTAATATTGAGACTGTTGACCTTCACATAACACTCCTCTTTTGGCTTCTGCAACCTCACCTGCTCCTGGCTCTCCTCTTGTCCTGTCTTTTCTTTCTCCAGCTCCTTTGTTTACTACCCTCTGTCCTATTCTTCAGTGTTGGCATCTTTTTCTCTCCTTACTTTCTGTGCTCCTCTTGGATAATCTTGACCACTCACATGGTTGTAGCTAATGCCTATATTCTGAGTCTTTCCTATATAGTTCTTTAGCTTTAATCTCTCTCTGAGGTCCACAAATATTTTCAGTCTTCACCTGGATTCTGCCACTAGGTTGTACTATGGTTACCTCAAATTTAATGGGTCTAATATAGAACTTTCTTTCAGAGGTATTGCTCTTTCCATAGCCCTTATTAAAATTGTTGATAATCCCTTTGTACTGTAATCCTATCTGTAAACTGAACACTTTACGATGAACTATTCTATTAAATTCTTGTAGTAGTATGTTACTCCATTTAGAAGATGAAGAAATTAAAGCTCAAAGGTTTTAAGTAACTTACCAAAGATTTTCACACATCTGTCACATGACTCATCACACAGTTGGTAAGATGCAGAGCATATATTTGAACTCAGATCTATCTTTTTCCAAAGTCTGGTCTCTTAACCCCCATTGTAGCTCACTTACTTTTGACACCTCAACTCCTTTATGCCCCTAGGCTAGTGGTTCTCAAGCTTTAGCTCCTATTACAGCCACCAGAAGGGCTTTTTAAAACACAGATTGCCAGTCTTCAGCCCCAGATTTCTGATTCAATAGGTCTGGGTGGGGCCTAAAAAGTTTACATCTCATAAGCTCCCACATTATCCGATGCTGATACTACTGGTCAGGGGGCCACAGTTTTGGGGCAACTTCCCTGGACTAATAGGTCATCAAATACTGCTAATTAATTTCCCAGAGGTTTTTGGAGCATTTCTCAAATGCCTCTCTTTACTCAGGCCTCAGCATCTTTTGCCCTATAGAATCCTCAGTAGTTACCCTGTTTCTGAGTTGTTCCTTCTCAAGGTGTTATAGTAAACTTTCTAAAAATGGCCCCCAAATCCCCTTTTTATTGTAAAGGTCTTCTTTCCTTTTCTCTTAATTTTCAGTACTATGGCTTTAGTTAATGCTTTCATTACTGCTTACTTGTACTATTGCAATATCTTCAAAACTCATCCCCCTTGAAATAATCCTCCATTCTGATACCAGGGCATTCTCACTAAAACTCCGGGCTGATTCTGCCATCATCTTCTTAAAAATCCTTGGTGACTGACAAGAACTGAAAGGATAAGGTCCTTAGGATGACATTCAAGATTATTTGCAATTTGACGACAGTTTGACTGTTCTTCCACTTCCCCAGATATTGTGCCCCAGCTCCTCAGACCTCAGCATTCTGGGCATGCATTGCACACTTCCACACCCTTTGTGTGTGCTATTTCCCCTGCCTAGAGCTCTCCTTTTCTCCACTTCTTTCTTTGAAAACTTTTACACACCTGGTAATGTCTAATTCAAATGTCACCTAGTCTCTCAATTCTTTTCCTAGTCTCCAAATAACTGTATTCTCCTTTGTTCTCTTGAGTCCCCTGTTCCTGACATGAGTGCGACACCAGCCCCGTGACTTTCGCAGTTGTTAAGAGTGTATACTACTTGAAGGCAGGTGCTATGCCTTAGTCTTCTTAAGCTTCCCAGGACCAAATGCAGAGCTTGGCACACACTAAGTTCTATAAATGATTTTCAAATATAATGTTACCCTATACTTTGTGACTTATGAATATTCTGATCCTCATAGTAAATCAATTTCTACTGCTGAAAATGCTTGTATATGTAATTGTAGGGGTTTGGATCTTGAACTACTGGAAACTAGCCCTGGGAGATTACTCTCAGCAGGTCAAAACCAAACATCATCCGTGGATATTTATTTTTGTATTTTTGATAACAGGCTCTAGGCAGTCATCACGGATGTTGCCGACAAACAGACATGCAGCTCTGAGTGTCCGCCTAATGTAGCAGTGGGAATTATCTTCCATTTACAGCTCCGGGGGAGGTGTTATTGGTGTTGGGTTGGCCCAGAACTGGCTTTGAGGGTGTTGACAAAAACCTAAGATTGCTACACAGGGAAACTTTTGGCTTTTCCCCAGCATCAGTCACCATTACAGGCTGTGGAGAAATCACAGCCTAACCACAAACATCAGATGTTTGCCTTAATAGATCCCATATGAGGAAAGGTAATAATGTTCCACCACAAAATGCATGCAGGCTCGAGGGCTCTATTTTGGTTCTATTTGGTTTTTAATCTGGCAGAATCTGAAAGAGGGACTTAGTGAGGATAGAAAAGTCTCTGTTTGATAACAAGGCAAAAAACAATGCTAGTCTCATGATCGTCACATGCTTTGTCTGTGGGGACAACACCCTGATGTGAAAAGGCCTGGGCATTTGCTGCCGTACTGCTTCTTCATCTCCTCTTTCTCTTTCTCCTTCTCCTCCTCCTTCCCTTTTGCCTATTAGTTATTGAATCATAAATGTATACCAGTAGTACTCTCATTTTGGAGCAAGGATCCTGATTTAATTTAGAACTATGCAAATAAAAATAGATTTCTATAGAGAATTATGTAAGAGGGTTTAGAATCTACTATATTGATAAACATGTAGATCTCATTATATAGTTTTAGAAGTACAGGGTCTACTAATTATGTAAATAAAAATACAGAGATAAAATTTAAAGATAGTTATTACTACAGGTAAGTGGCAGGTAATCATTAAAGAAGAATAAATTATAACAGCTCTTGAAAAACCCTTTCAAGATCCATAGATAGGGTTGTTCAACCCTAAACTGTTTAATGATTACCAAAGTACAAATCACACTGCCATATATTAGGCATTCCTCTGTATGAATGTATGAACCACCCCACTGAGATATGGCAAAACAGAATTATTAATCCCCCTTCACAATGTTGCTATTGCATTTACTCTTATAGAATAAACCTGTAACTATTTCTGACCTTTTTCTTTCCCTTATGTCATAAAGGCATAGCTGCTGCTTTCAATGAATTTTGCATAATTATAATTCAACTCTGTTAAATATTTATTAAGTGCTCACCACGTCCCAAGAACTTGAAACTAAGGAGAAGATTGAATTGAAAAATGTTCTGTGTAGTAGTATTGAGAAGATGGTGAAGCAGGGTAGGAAATAGGCTGGAAAGGGCAAGATATTGAAGATTTCTGTTTATGCCATGTTAAGAAATCTGCACCTGATCTAAGGTCATTCCAAGATTCCAATTTTTTATAGCAAGATTCCAAGCAATAGTGGGAAGATGATTCTGTCTGGATGACAGACGAGCATGGGGGAAGCAAGGCTGGAAAGAGTAAAATCATTTAGGTTAATGTGACCATCTAGGCAAGAAAGAAGGTGACAGAGAGAAATTCATGACTTCAGATGGATGTGTGGATTTGAATGGGGAGGAGCTTTGAATGATGGCCAGGTATCGGATTTGGACTTGAGTGAGTGGTGAATCTGGTCATTGAGACTGGGGATGTAGGAGGAGTAGCTAGTTATTGAAGAAAGAAAATGTGCCCATTAGAGGGACTAATACTGGGTTAAGACAAGACATCAGAGATGGAAAGTTTTTATTGAATAAGAAAATTGTAGAGCTGAAAGGACCTTAAAAGTTAGAGTTTTAAAAAACATCTTTTCACGTGTAGAAACTGAGACCAAGGGATTGCACAAATCATCATGGGTTTATGATTCCCGTAAACAAGTGCTTCTCAATGTGTGGTCTGGGGAACTGTAGGAAACATTGAGTTTTTCTCAGAGGATGCAGAAGTCCCACCATTGATAATATAATGAGAATGGTTTACATGACATTGATGCAACCTGGCAGCCAAGGAGAGTGGGTTGGAATGTACATGCATGGACAATGATGACTTCACTATACTAGTCAGTGGAGGTGGTAGACACTGTTGAGTGAGCATGTGTACTGTGTGGCCATCACATTCAAAATGACTGAGTAGAGAGCAATGAATCTGCATCAAATTTTGTGTTAAGCTTGATCATTCCTCTGTGGAAACTATTCAGATGATTCAGAAGGCCTCAGCTATGGGCAACTGGTTATTGGCAGCTTCATCATAACAAGGCACCCACTCATATATCATATCTCATGCAGAGTTTTTCTGTGAAACATTAAATTACCCAGGTGACTCAGTCCTCGTACATCCCAGATTTGGTGCCCTCCAACTTTTGGCTTTTCCCAAAACTAAAGTCACCTTGGAAAAGAAAGATTTCAGATGATCGATGCAACTCAGGAAAGTTTGATGGGGCAGCTAATGACTATTGGGAGAACTGTGTGAGGTCCCAAGATGCCTACTTTGAAGGGAACTGAGTTGTCATTGTCCTATGTACAGTGTTTCTTGCATCTTTTATCTTCTTCAATAGTGTCTCCATTTTTCATATTACATGGATGGGTATTTTTAGGACAGGCCTCACATTTTATGTACACATATATCCTCATGGGAAGACATTTTTTCACTGCTTTTACAGAGAGAGGAAGGGATAGAGGAAGGAAGGGAGAGAAACATTCATGTGGGACACCAACATTGATTGGTTACCTCTCGTATGTGCCTGGACCAGGGATCAGACCTACAACCCTTTGGTTACCAGACAATGCTCCTACCAACTGAGCCACACTGGCCAGGGCCCCCCAAAATTTATAATACTAATGTTATGTGTCTTTTTCATTCTTTTTTCTCATGAGTATTCTGTGGAGTTTCATAAAAGCCACATGCTGTATAATATCACAACAAATTGAATGCAGAAACAGATATGAAATCCAACTGTCTTCTATTAAGCCAGGCATTAAAGGGACCTGTAATGATGTAAAACAATGCCATTCTCCAAATTCCATTTTATCGTCTGGAAAAATATTGTTATATTTCATAGAAATGTTATTTATGTTAATGTAATATATAATATATTTATTATTCTAATAATTATCATAGTAATATTATATAGTAATATAGAATTGTAGTATATAATAATGACCATTATAGTAATATATAGTACATATGTACTATATAGTAATTATATATGTCATAAGACCATTAATATCATATAATTTCTCAGTTTTAATTTCTAATATGGTAAATATTTATAGAACACACATAAAAACAGTTCTTTGGAGTGCTCATGATGTTTTAAGAGTATAAAGGGGTTTTGAGACCCAAATGTTTGAGAATGGATCTCCTAGTGTAGACGATCAAAAAAGGTCATTCAGAAGTCACACTGGCAAATGTAAGCTATACCTACTTTGCTTTTATAGTTCTGGTGATGTGAGGAAGAAAATATGAGGAAACTATTAAGTTGAATTGTTATAAAAGTAAGAAGAAGCCTTTCCTAGGAATAAATGTCCCCTCACCCACTTGAATGGTTAGATAAATTACATATTTGTTTCTCTCTCTCTTCTCAACATGGGCAATTAGAGCTAGATACAAGAACACCGCCCGGCAGCCAGGAAACTGACCAAGGATCTTAGAAGAGATGATGAACCCAGACAAGTCACAGTTCAGAAACATTTCCAGGGTGCATTAGATGAAGTGTTGACAAGGCTTGTTAGAGGAAAAAGTAATCCATTGTACTATGATATTTTTATTCTTTAAATCAAGCTCTAAATTTTGTATCCTATTAAATTAATAGTAGTCCATATTTATGTTCATATGTTTTGAGGCATTCTATCTTTAGCAAAAAAATTATAATTGAGTGAAAAGCATGTATAATCTATGATTTGATGGAGCTTCTGAGGGTCGGAGCATTCATACCATGAAGTTGTGACCCAACCAGTTGTCTTAAATGGTAGGCCATTCCTGGAAAGAAAAACACGGTCATGCCATGCCATGCCATGCCATGCCATGCCATGCCATGTCATTCATTCATTCATTCATTTACTCATTCAACAGATAATTAAGTGCCTAACATGTGCCAAACTTCCAGGCTTCCAAAACCAGGCTTCCAAAGGTAGGCCAAGTATTCTGCATTTTAGAAAAGACTTGTCTGACAGTAACCTGTAGGACATCCAGGAGAAGGCTTGGGGATGGGAGATGAGAGGAGGCTGGTGAAGGCTATCATCCTTATACCCTGGGGGGGGGGGGCAGGTTAAAAACAAAGCCAAACTAATACAGACTTCCAGTGAGAAGACAATAGAAACTTTAATTTTGAAGGCCCTCTGTGAGGCATGCTTACAATCAGGATTTTGACTCCAAGAAAGGAAGGGTTTCTCCAAGAAGTAAAGGGGGCAACGAAATTTGTTAGCAAAGGCTGTGAACTAATGCATAAACCAATGCATATGGAGATCATTTGGCATATCACTGATTGTTATTCCTACAGTAGGTCTTGAATTTCACACCAGGAGACAGGCAAATAAAGCTACTCAATACAGGCTTAATTTAAATGTATCAACCCTTGACAGAAGTAGTAAGCAAGGATAATAGGAAAGTCATACACACTAGAATAAAATCGCTGTTTCTGAGTTTGGGAAATCAAAGGATTCCAGTAGATGAAATATTTCTAAGTTAATAAAACAGGAATAAAGCCAAGTGACTTAGGTAGTGACCTTCTAACCAAAGACACTGAATATTTTACTACTGGCTAAAACATTATGCCCATTTCCAAGTTGCCTGGCTAGAGCCTTGGAAGAGCCCAGTTTTGACAGATTTTACTGATTAAAATCTACTTTCCAAAATTTTTTATTTTCAGTTCGAAACCCGGAAGGACAGATAAAGCTTTATTCCAAAGGAGCAGACACTATTCTGTTTGAAAAACTTCATCCATCCAATGAAGACCTTCTGACTTTGACGTCAGACCACATCAGTGTAAGTGCCTCTGTCTAAGGTTAGCACAGCGGCCCTTTGGCCACTTTCTATGGTTAGGTCTCATTTTAAAAATATCAGCTAAATGATCTGACTTCTGAAATAGAAAACACATGGAGAGTGGTTCCACAGGGAACTCTGCCAGTAAATATCTGGAAACTGTCACTTGGACCCACCCCCTGCCCTGCTGAGAATCTGGTTGGTCTCACCACAGGTGGATTAACACAGCCAAGACGTAGCCACTGAATGTGGGTTCCTGAACTCCAGCCAGGGGAAGGCTCAGGACACCTAGGGAAACCTGCTCTAACTCCCCTGTAGTTTGGGGCTGTGCCCGTTGGGAGACTGGACTGGTTCAAGGAAGAAGAGCTGGATAGCTGCTTCCACCTGTGTTCCAATGTGTCTGGCACCCACAAAATCTCTTATGATCATCCCCAGTGAAAATCTTAGGCTTGTGTTTAAAGGGTGTGGGGAAAATAGTCTCAGTAGCCAATTTTCTCTTCCAATGGTCCTTTTATTCAGGACATAAATCACAGTGAGCCTCATACATTCCCTAGGTGAAGTTACCAATTGTATACATTCTGCAGCTATGCATAATTTCTTTCCAAAAGCTTTCTGAAGGAAGCAGGGATGATCTTCAGCAAACTTTTTTTTTAAAGAGTATGAATTAATATGAGCATTACCTGGTCTGAACCTGAGATTCAATTGTCTCCGTAGTACTTGCTTGAGGTTCTGTTTAACCCAATATGAACTTTAAGGGCAACTGGCCAAAACTCTCATTTCCTCATTGGTTTCTCTCCTTTAAAAAAATTATTGGGGATTCATGTTCTTTGTCAAGCCCTATGTTTAATACAAAACATTCCCTGACTCTTTAAAAACAAACAAACAAATTTTAAAAACTCTGCCTGACTTTAAGTTTAAAGAACGATGGATTAGTAATATTGGGTATAAACATAGCTATTGTTTTTCTCTTTCCAAGAGAGCATTCTTGATTTCGTTTTAATCTCTTCCAGAAGGCTGACATGGTCTTTTTAATTTTTTTTTATGAGAACAACATTGGAATCATAAGTATCTGACTTTTGCCATTGCTCAAACACCAAGGCCCTGAATTTTCATATGTTCTCCTTTCATACAAAAATATAGGAAACCTAATTTGGTCTTTTTACATTTCTGCACAAAAGAAATTTTTACAGGTAATATCAATTTAACTTGCTCTTTGCTTCATTCACTTTGTTCATTTTGGCTTTCAAATTCTGAGGTTTTAAATTTATATTTAATTATTGATTAAATGTTTAATGATAGGAAACAACCTTGCTCAAATGCTCATTTAGGATCTAACTTGTGTTTCATGTGCTAATTAAATAACTTAAATCATCTGTTCCCCTTTGTAATGTCTTCTTAGAGTTGATTCACTATTGTGCAGAACAGAGTGGAAAGCATTGTAATGCCCAGCGATGTTGCAAGTTAAAGGCGAAGAAGCATTATGCGAATTAAGAGGACAAAAGATCATTAGACCACAGTGACTCCACTTTCAGATCAGTAGGGGAGCCAGGGGTGGTCCTGGAAGGCAGGGCTGGTACATGTGATTGCAACATCCAATGTGCTACCAACTGCCTACAAGATAAATTTGGAGAATTTTTCTCATGGTCTTTCCGGGCTAAACCACATCACTGCAGTCTGTGCACTGACTTTGCTTTCCATTAACCTAATTAGGATGTGTCACGGTTTAACTTGTGCATGCTCAGAAACCTGTGTGTGTTCCATAAGCCAAAACACACAGAAAAGATATGTTCAATGGCAATACCCAAAGGCATAGAAACGGCTATAAAAATGCTTACAATATGCAGGCCCATAAAATGGCCACAGGAGGCCTAGGCGAAGTGGGAGGTTTTTAGCATTTCCCCCAGAGCAATCTACATATGTTTCTAGCTATCATGGCTATGTGAGACACTTAGCCACTGCCAGTCTCCTACTTTTATTTACTTATTTATTTATTTGTACTGTTAGACTTTACATTTAAGACTGTCAGTTTACTGAGATAAGAAAGGAAAAGCATAATTCTGCCACTAATTTGACCTGTTATTAAATACAAACTTCATAGAAAACAGTTTATAAAAATTATATTTTTTAAAACTTACCTGACCCGATGGTATCTTTAAAGTTTCAAACCATTTTTATTATTAAAGTGAAACTTTCATATAGAATTAAATAAAAATCTTCACTGAGGATATGTTTATTGATTTTAGAGAGAAAGGAATGGAAAGAGAGAGAGAGACATCGATGCGCGAGAAATCTATTGCTTCCTGTATGTGTCCCAACTGGGGATCAAACCCACAACCTAGGCATGTGCCCTGATCGGGAATTGAACCCACAACCTTTTGGTGTATGGGATGACATTCCAACCAACTGAGCCACCTGGCCAGAGCTAGCTTTTTTTCTTTTTTCTTTCTTTTTGATTACAGATCTAGAATGAAAAGTCAGCCTCCACTTTTAGTCCTACTTCCCAAAAGCAAACATTTATATTGACTTTCTGCCATTCTCTCCCCTTTTCCCCTAGAGCTTATTATAACATAATCTTAATTAACAGGCTTAAACTTCTATTACCTAACATCTATTTATTCATCTATTATTGACTCTTATCTTTTTATTGTGGAAAGTTTCAAGGATAAGAAAACATAGGACTGAGTTCATTTCAGACATAGCTGTAGTGTTAGGGGGAAGGTGACAAGACTCTGTGGACAGCCTCTGCCTTCGGTTTGAGAGCTGTGGCTCCTCCGAGGGTCCTTTTCTTTCCACTGGAAGCTGAGTACCATGGGCCATGAAACAGGCTGGGTTCCTCTCATTGCTAGGAGGACTTCCTTTAGACGGGGGACAGGTTGAAAACCAGTATATATGTTGCTTCAAATGGATATTTCAGTTCACAGGCACCATTAGTCACCTCTCAACTGGGACATTTCAACAGGCATTTTAATTGTCTTTTGGGGGAGGGCTAGCTCCCCTGAATGTTTTTAACCCAATACAAATAATATTAAAAATGCAAACATTATCCCCCATTTCCAAGGGTATTAAAAACTTGAAGGTCAGAATAGCCAAGTTGTGCTCTTGGGATAAAGTGAATTTGCAAAACTTCCTACCCATTATTGTTGTTCTTCTTTTTGCTGTGGTGATTATTTTGGGATGGCTCCTAAATCAATGTCTGTTCTGGCAGGAATTTGCAGGAGAAGGCCTTCGAACCTTGGCCATTGCATACAGAGATCTGGATGACGACTACTTTAAAGAGTGGCAGAAGATGCTTGAGGATGCAAATGCTGCTGCACATGAGAGGGATGAACGGATAGCTGGGCTGTATGAAGAAATTGAAAAGGATTTGATGGTATGAGTTTAGAAGCATGATGGTTTGTGTTTACAAAGAGGATAGTATATGTTTAGAGAGCTAGCATAAGAGTAATCCATTGGCTAAATCATCTTGCACACAGCAGATGTTACTTTTTCAAACACTGAATCACGCTTTCTGTGCTGGCTTTGAGTTTGCCATGTGTGGCCCTGGAGGGCCTAGAGGATTATTTCTACTAAATGTGGCTTATGTAATTGGAAGTCGCCCAAGAGTAGAAGATTGGAGACCCACTATTCTTTGTCAACCTCTAATATGTCTTTGATGTTCTTTTTTTCGCTTCTTGCTTTATGACCCACCTTTTTAGAGCAGGGAAACTTGCCAAGAAGAGTGGGGCTACAGCTCTAAACTGTCTTAGACCCATGAGATTCAGATAATATCTGTGCTGCCCAGAGTATGACAATACGGTCTATTCTAGAAACCACCCTTCCCTGAGGCCCCAGTGGACAGGATGCTTAGCTACAGGGAGGTACTAGGGAGCACGTCTTTTTCATCTTTGGATGAAATACTGCAGAAGAACTTCATTTTTTAGTTTATGTCATCTGTTGATGTGCTAATTTAGGAGAATGGCTCCACATTTTTGTGAACCTGACTGAGATAAGGGCTCTCCTTTGGGCCCTTTCATGCTGTTATAAGTGGGAAAGCATCTGGGAGTTCTTAAGTCCTTACAAAGCCCAAATGGCTTCTGATTGTTTAGGCTAACTTCCAGGATCTCTGCCATTAATTGGTGTGCCTATCAGTTGGCTTGATTTGAGAAGCTCCTCTTGGGTCTGTTCCAGTGCACTTCTGCACACAATAGGATGCTTGCTGTATTGATGCATTATAATTTCCACCCTCAATTCATGTTCTTTGACCTCTAAACTCCATGACTGAAAGCTGCAGATGTTTTAACTGTTGTTTGCATGCATTAACGTAGGTGTTCTCTATTTTTCAATGAAGCTTCTAGGTGCCACTGCTGTAGAAGATAAGTTACAGGAGGGTGTTATTGAAACAGTTACAAGTTTATTGCTAGCCAATGTTAAGATCTGGATCCTAACAGGAGACAAACAAGGTAATTTGAAAATGGATAATGATGTTTTGAACAGAAGGTGATATATTTGGTAAAATTTTAACTAATTAGGAAGTTGAATTAGTTAGATATTTTCCCAGTCCTCCATGTAGGAAAAAGTCGAAATATAAAAAGGATGTTACCTGGCTGTAAAAAAAGAGAAAATTTTACCCTTTGCAACAATATGGATGGACCTAGGGAACTTTATGCTAAGTGAAATTAGTCAGTCAGAGAAAGACAAATACCATATAATTTCATTCATATGTGGAATCTAATGACCGAACTGAATTAACAAGCAAAATAGACACAGACTTATAGATAGACGGCTGGATGACAGCTTGTGGTGGGCATGTTAGGGGTAGAAGGATTAAGCAAAAAGGAAGAAGGACTCATGGACGTGGACAACAGTGTGGTGATTGCAAGGGGGTGGGTATATGGAGGACACATAGTAATGGAAAAATAGAATAAAGAGTAAATAAGAAAGGATTTACTATTTAAAAATAAACAAAAACAAATTAAGAAAATATCTTCTATAGTATACCCTGTAGTCTGTTGAATTTCAACTAACTCACTTCTTAAACACAGTTAAACCAATAGACAATGATGGAATTAAAAATGTTTAACTATTGGTTTATATGAGCACTGCCTCCAGTGAGGACAGAGGCTGGTATAGTACTGAAGTACAACATTGGAGACCTTAGGACAACTCTTTCAGTCTCTTGATGCTATGTAGGGAGGTTTGGGGATCTTAGAGGTGGGATCAGGGCAGTGAGCAGGCTTTGGGAAGACTCAGAGAAGCAACCATTTATCAGATGGTATGGAAGTATTTGGGTATTTTAACACCAACCACAGCTGTACTGGTGCAACTTGGCTGAATTCCAGGTCTTCCCATGCAGTGGTATAATGAGAGTTGACCCACTTTCAGGCATGACAAAATGCCAAGTCCATCAGAGGAAGAGTGGTTATCTTCACAATACTGTGTTTCCTAAGGAAGAAGAGGGGATCAATACATTCTGGATCTATTGCTAGCAGTAATGGTTAAAACAAAAATGATTTTATGTTTGGCCCTCAGTAACCCAGAAATATTCAGTTAACTGGCGAACACATGTTTTTCAGATCTACCTGTTAGGTATTTTTAGAACACTGGAAGATTTTCAGATATAATAAATCTGTTACATGTTCACCCAAATCACTGGTCACAAAAAAATAAACAGCAGAAAGTTGACCTCTGTGGCGTGTTACTACAGACTTCCTGGAGTTTGATGTTGATCAGTATGCATGGCTGTTTAATTAGTTTGAATATCCAGAAGTTTACTATTATTTAGCCTTAATTTCTGTGGCTTATACAAAGGATATGCTGAGATTTTATCAGTTGCCTTTCTTGACTTAGGACAGAGAAATCTAATGACTCCATAGAATTAGGTTGAGTCTAAGAACTCAACAGAATTAGAATCAAATGACTTTATTGAGAATAGAAGGGTTAACTAACTATCCTAGGCTGTATTTCTGTAAAAGTAGTGGAAGGAATGTCCAATATCATGTGATTTTCCAGTCAGCTAGTAGCCACAGTCCATTCACTTAATGGGAAAATGACAACATTGCATATGGGAGAACTATAAAAATGTCATAAGAGCATTTTTGCTGTTCAACTGAACATTTTGTGCGTTGTTTTTTAATTTGCCTACCATATCAAAATTGAAAAATGGCTAAGTTTAGTATTTTAGTTCTCCAAAGGCTGTATTTGCGACCTCTGCTAAAAAATAGATGAGAAAAGTGAGGACTCATAGATCTTGCTAACAATCCATGGGTTTAGCAATTGGTAAATGTGATCATGAGAGCCAGGGTTGTGATTTTCCCTCTGCATCTCTTGCATTTTATCGCCATTATGCTCTGTCTGACATTAAGGGAACCCGTAAGGTGCAAGGAAATACAGCACAAAGGGTACTTATATTATCAAGTAATGTTCTAACTGAAGTATGCTTTGTTTTGTGTCAGAGACTGCCATCAATATTGGCTATGCCTGCAACATGCTGACTGACGACATGAATGAAGTGTTCATTATAGCCGGGAACTCGGCAGAGGAAGTCAGAGAAGAACTCAGGTAAGTGTTAAGGAAGGAGGAAGGGCAGAGAGGAGAGAAGGGAGAGAGAAGCAAAGGAAGATCACACAGTTGAGAAAGTAGAAAGACATTCTATAGTTTCCTGTGAGCCCTTTCTGCATGTTCCTAAAATTCTATTCATTTTGGTGACAAACTAAGACAAGTTTGACATCAGTGGTGAATTAATGTCTTCAGGCTTCCAACATTCTCCAGCTAGTTTTAAAAAATGATTTCCAATCATTTCCACTGTTAGCCTTTAAAATTATGCATTACAAGTAGCCCCTGTTAACTCTTACATGATAATGAGTGATCACTGTTACTGAGGGCATTTGTTAAAATGTAGAATCTCTAGCTTCATTTTGACCTAAAAATTAAAAATATTAAGACTTAAGATGGGGAATACATATATAGAAATATTCATTGCTGTATCAGTTATGATAATGAAATGTTAGAAATTACTCAAATACCAGCCACAGGAATTTTATTAATTACTATGCTATATACACACAGTGGAATACTATGCAGTCATTAAAGATATTATGTATTTATTGACATTGGAAGATATCCAGGATATATTTAAATAAAAGATGAGATTACAAAACCTTGTACTGTGTATGATCCCTTTTTTAAAATAAAAAGTATGTATGTGTATGTATGTATGTACAGGGGTGGACAAAAGTTGGTTACAATTTTAAGTACACAAAAGTTTATTCTTGCATTATTATTTATTATTGTGTTATTTTCCATGCAAACAACTGTAAGCCTACTTTTGCTGACCCCTGTATATGTATAAATACTATATATCTATACTCATATCCATCTATCTACCTGCCCATCAAACTGTGGAGGACATACATAAAGTTGTTTTTCCTGAGTGATTAAATTATGTATGGATCATGGCTGCTTTCTTCTTTATGGTTCTCTGTATTATCTGACATGACAATAGTATTTATTCAATACTCTTGCAAGTAGGAAAAAATTATCTCCATTTTTTAATGAGAAGAAAAAGATACTCAGGGGGGAAAATAAATAATTTCTACCTAGGCGAATTATTTCAGGACCCTTGAGGCCACCTTGCTTAACTGACTGGCAAATGATGTTTATTTCAACCCAGAGTTGGTTATCACCTCATTTTTAGAGTCTAAGACAGAGAGGCAGTGCATGGTAGAAAATTCTATGTAAGAGAAATCAATCCATTTTTAATATTACCTTGCTTAATATTAGAATGAGGGAGGAAGGACATCTAAGAAAAATTATTGCTAGAGGTGCTCTATAATTCTAATCTTGGTTACTTACTGTGTTTTGCCATGTATAATGTGCACTGTTTTTGCTCAAATTTTTGAGGGAAAAATAAGGATGCACGTTATACATGGGTATGTTCATTACATAGCATGGGTATAATAATCCCATGTACAATGCACACAAAAACATGGGTGCTCATTATACATGGCAAAGTACAGTATATTAAAGCCCATAGATTTGGAGATGAAATATTGAAATCATAAATTTATACCACTAACTTTTCTTGTTTTATACTTTTGAGTTCAGTGAGAGTTCGTACAAAACCAACCAAACAAAAAAAAAGTGTATCAGAAGGACAGGATCTAAGTGATAATAGCTATTGGGAAGAAATGACCTAAATGCTTACATTGAAACCTTCAAATATGTTTCGATTATTTCATAAACATGGATATGTAATTTTCATGATTATCATGCATAAGGCTTATTTACTGTCACGAAACCATTCTAGACACTTTAAGTGCTGTGTTAATTTTGCTGCCATAGCTGCTTTAGTATTGAGGGCATGCCCAGAAGTCTACAATGAAATTCTGACATGGCTTATCAGAAGATTAATGCATTGATTACATTTCACCAACACATATATATCTTCTGCCCAAAGGAAAACAGACTGAGAATGTAATTTTGCTTTCAGGTAACCTCACTCATTCCATGTTTCACTGAGCATAGGCTTTATTGTTAGAAAACTTATGTCTTATAACTAATTCAACCATGAAGTGATTCCACAGCTTCTGAGAAGTATACTGGTGATAGACCTAGGATATATTTCCTACTTTTTTAAAAAGTATTTTTTATTGATTATACTATTACAGTTTTCCCAGTTTTTTCCCTTTATCCCCCCTCCACCTGCCTCCCCAACCCTCCAGCATTCCCCCCACTTAGATCATGTCCATGGGTTGTATATATAAGTTCTTTGAGTTCTCTGTTTCCTATACCATTTTTATCTCTCCCTGTCTATTTTGTGCCTACCAATTATGATTCTTCTTCCCTGTATCTTTTCCCCCCTATTCCTCCCTTCCCCCTCCCCACCAATCTCCCTCTGTGTGATGTCCATTTCTCTGATTCTGTTCCTGTTCTGGCTATTTGCCTAGTTTTTGTTTTCATTGTTTTTCTTTTCTTTTAGGTTCATTTGTTGATAGTTATGAGTTTGTTATTATTTTATTTTCATATTTTTGATCTTCTTTTTTCTTAGATAAGTCCCTTGAACATTTCATACAATAATGGCTTGGTGATGATGAACTCCTTTAACTTGGCCTTATTTGGGAAGCACTTTATCTGCCCTTTCATTCTAAATGAAAGCTTTGCTGGATAGAGGAATCTTGGATGTAGGTCCTTGCCTTTTATGACTTGGAATACTTCTTTCCAGCCCCTTCTTGCCTGTAAGATTTCTTTTGATTAATCAGCTGATAGTCTTATGGGAACTCCTTCGTAGGTAACTGTCTTCTTTTCTCTTGCTGCTCTTAGGATTTTCTCTTTGTCTTTAATCTTGGGTAACTTAATGATGATGTGCCTTGGTGTGTTCCTCTTTGGGTCCAACTTCTTTGGGAGTCTCTGGGCTTCCTGGGCTTCTGGAAGTCTATTTCCTTCGCCAGATTGGGGAAGTTTTTCTTCATTATTTGTTCAAATAAGTTTTCAATTTCTTGCTGTTGCTCTTTTCCTTCTGGCACCCCTATAATTCGGATATTGGAATGTTTCAGGTTGTCTCAGAGAGTTCTTAACCTCTCTTCATTTTTTTGGATTCTTGTTTCTTCATTCTGATCCAGTTGGATGTTTATTTCTTCCTTTTGTTCCAAATCGTTGCTTTGGATCCTGGTTTTCTTCTTGTCACTGTTGGTTCCCTGAATATTTTGCTTTATTTCACTTGGGTATCTTTCATTTGTCCTTTCATTTTTCCACTACCCTCAATCAGGTCTGTGAGCATTTTGATTACCAGGGCTTTAAATTCTCCATCAGTTAGGTTGGCAATGTCCTCATCACTCAGTTCTGAGGTTTTGCTGTGTTCTTTCATTTGGGCCATATTTCTTTGTCTTGGTGCACCTGAAAAGTTGTAAGGGGCATGGCCTTAGGTATTCACCCCAGCAAGGCAACCCTCCTTGCTGCACTGCCTGTGGGGGAGGGGCCAGAGAGGGAGAAATGCAGCTTGCCTGCTCATCTCTGGTGTACTTTCCAACAGACTCTCATGTCAGACTGGAAGTATCCCTCACCATGACAACCCCAGCCTTAGCCCACAGTCATCTTTGAGGCTCAGTTTTCCCCTTAAGTAGGTCCCTCCTGTGCAGTTTCACCAAGCTCGGTGCTCAGCCCCGCCCCTCAGCCTCCCTTACTGGTCTGGTTGTTTTGGTTGATTTTTTCTTTATTTCCTTGGTTGTTGGAGTTCCATGCAGTTTGATTTTCTGGTGCTTCTGGTTGTTTATTGATTTTAGATTGGTTGTTATGGTTTAGATTGGTTTAGATAGGTAGAAGGGTTTCTACCTATGCCTCTATCTTGGCCAGGACCCCATATTTTCTACTTAATCAACAAAATACACATTGTATTTTTTTGAAAACCTACTTGGTAAAAAGTTATTTGTTTGAATGAGCAAGGGTCACAAATTCAAATGGCTCCAAGAACAGGAAGGTAATGTTAACTGTGTAATCCAGGCAATGGATAAGACATTAGGGAGCAGTGGAGACTTTGGTAAGACGAACATCATCTTGTCCACAAACTCATACAGATTTTTTTTTAATACTATGCAGGCCAAACAAAATGCATATTGTCCCTAATTTCTAACAGCTAGTGACCCAGGCAAAACATTTTAGTAAGTTAAGTTTCTACCATAAATGGTAAAACTTTAGAGCTCTAAGTAATCTCAGAGATCTTCTAGTACACACTTGTAGAGCTGCCCAAGTTTTCATAGCTGGTGTCAACCAGTCTGACTGGTGGGTACCATTCCACCAGTTTCTAACCTGGTTCAGAGGTTTAATGTCTTTAGGTCACACAGGTAGTAAGGGATGGAACTAGGGCTTGAAATAAAAATTTCATGTACTTTCTCCTTTTACTGTTGGCAGGGTAATACTGTTCCTTAACTGCTCTTCTGTCACTGTGTCTTTGTCCCAATCTAGAGACAGCCTATGACAGATTCTATGGGTAAACCTATTTGGTGTAGTTGATCAAGTCTAGGAATTTAAAGACTTGGGGTCTAGCCTGGGACTGCCACTGACTAACCAAGGGGCTAGCTGTCAGAGGCAGACCTTAGGCCTGAACCCAGGTCTTCAGGTTCCAAACCCAATGCTCTTACATGAAAGTCAAGATTGTGTTCTTTTAAGCATGATATGATTTCAATCCATTTCCTAAGAAGTCCATTTCGTGTGTGAATATAGAGTGCCTTGAGAGGACTGACAAAAGGACTCTTTTCTCTACAATCTCTTTTTCTTTATAGGTTGCATACAAGCCAACATGGGCCTAACTGGGCTTTGCTTTTTTTGTGGTGGCATGGGGCTGTGAATGCCGTGGTTGCGCCAACCATTAATGCATTTCTGCATGCCAGCATTGTAATAGATTGCCCTTCATTACAACGCCTGGAAAAAACAGGCACTCTTTTGTTTTAGCATGTGTTATTTGTATTCTGTGGTTAAGCACTGTGTGTCGTGCCTACAAAAATGTATGGTTCATATTCATTGAACAGAGTTATGATAGTTGCTGCCCTTCTAATAAATTGTTTTTGTGAAAACCAGCTGGTCCTTGAAGAGCTAAGTTCCAGGAAGAAAAAGAAATGACAGCTGTAGAGTGTGGGCAAAGGTCTGAAAATGCAGGAGCCCAGTCCAGTGAGGAGGGTTGGCCTGTGCGGAGGGAGTTTAAGCAGAGTTAGAAAACACTGTCCCTTGTCTGCCTGGAATGGGTTCATGTGAGATGTTAGGAAGACAGTTTAGGGGGGAAAATCCTAAGTAAATAAAATTTCAGCCAATACTTTTATGAACTTCACCCTTCTTTGGAATGTTTTTATTCTCCAGGGGGAAAACAGAGATTGAGTCATTTATACAGAGAGTGAGAACTTCATGGAAAAGGAAACCTCAGGAGATGTTTGCTTTTTGGTGCTTTCTTAGGACCCCATTTAGGATCTCTGCAACATTGTCAGAGAAATGTTCATTTCCGAGGAATTTGTCTCTTTTGCTTTCTTCATTACATGGGATTGTAAATTTTCCTGACTGTGAGGAGGATTCCCTGACATGGTTATCTGAGGCAAAAGTCTGGTCTTCCCACTCCAAACAATAAATTTCATGCCTGCTTTCCTTCCCCCACCCCACCCTAGCTCCTTGAATTTCACACGTAGCTATCTGACTTTACAAACCTTTTTCTCTGATTCCACTAAATGCATGATATCATCCTTGGAGCCAGAGCTGTGTCACCTCGGGTGGCTTGGGTTCCTAAGCACAGGCTGTGATTTTGGCCCTGAACAGCAGAAGGAGATGTTGAGCCAGCAGATAAGAATTTTTTTTTGAACTTAGCATGTAAATAATTAGTGTTACATTTTCCAATAGAAAGTTGAAGACTACAGTGATTGTTTTTGTACAGGGAACACTCTCTTCTTTCAGAGGAGCTACAGCCTAAACCCATTTTATTAAACATCTTCTACGTAGGACAGATCTTTGGGGAACCATTTCATTTTGCTCCAAGCCAAAACATCCACTTTCTGGCCTCTCATTCCCCATTTTCTCCTGGGCACTTGTTTTGTACATGCAAGCTGTGGCCTGGAGTGTTGGTGGCTGGCTTTGATGCTCATCTTCAGGGAGTGTCTGCTGGGTAGCTCCCTGGCTGTGGCTGAGAGTTCTGATGTCAGCTCGCCCTGTGTTGCTTGTCACCCAAGGGTCTTTGGAGAGGACATTTTCCTTTGTTTCAAAGCATCGTCTTTGCATTTTGAAGGGAAGCAAAATGCCATTTTTAAGGATGTTGAATCACCATACATTCCTCCTCTTAGACAGCAGAGGTGGATGTGGGCAGGATTGTTCTATTGTGATCAGAGCTGGGACATTGGAGGATGTTCTCATTTGGAATAACCCACTACACTTTGGTGTCTGTAGTTTCTTTTTCAGAAAAGTTATTCTGTTGTTTGAGCAGATGAGTAAAATTTTCACTTAAAACATTCCCTTATAATGCCTATGCCGATTTTTAAATGCTAGCATTTGTTTTATTGTCAAGTTTATTGTCCTTAGAAGCCTGCTGTTATAAGATGGATCATATTACATCATTCTACAAATTAATTAATTTATTTACTATATAGATGCCCTGGAATTTCTACAAGATGCCATGAATTTTCTTTAGCCTTTCCCTTTCATTATTTAACAATATCATATGCTAGATCAGTGATTCTTAAGCCCTTGAAATTCAGATAACCTTATATACCAAATTTATCAAGGGTCCTTACTTCAAGGCCAGATCAAGATAGTGATTTAGCTTTTAAATAATTTAGAACATTCAAGATGATTCTTTTTGTATCTGTTTACCCTCCTACTTCCTGGAATTTGGAAATTCGCTCTTGTATCTCATTCACAAAGAATTATTAAGCTCGCTTACTGAAACTGAATCTCGTGCCACAGTCTATCAAAATCGTGACAAAATGGATTTACCTCTAGGCCAGTCTCTTGTTAGAGTTAAAAGATAGGCTCTGTGTACTTTGTTATGATTTACTTTCCCCACCCCTTGCCTTTAAGGAAAGCAAAGGAAAATATGTTTGGACAAAACAGAAGTTCTTCCAATGGCCATGTAGTTTTTGAAAAACAGCAGCAGCTGGAACTGGAACCAGTTGTAGAAGAAACCATAACAGGAGATTATGCCTTAATCATAAATGGTCATAGTTTGGTGAGTGCACTTAAGACTTTTGTTCTTTCTTCTTCTTCTTCACCCCAGTAATTGTCTCTTTTGTGCTGCCATAATGGGCTCTCCTTTTTTGTTTTCCAAACAAATGGCACTACTGAAAACAAGGCATACACCATCATTTCCTGTTTGTGAGGGGAAAGGAAACTTCTAATACATATTTCATACATTATTGCTTGAACTTCCACAGTGAAGGGAAGAGCCAAAGATATGCTGAATTCATAGAATATCAGTCTTGTCTTAATGACTATAGACTGTTTAGCAGTATTGTTTAAGTGCTTTTCTAAGGGAGAGTGTCACAGTTCACTGTTATTTAATTGAAATAATGCAACTGGATGAATGTATTACACTTATTGCTCCTGCTAATGTTTGTGATTTGTGGAATACAACCCGACCTTCATAGAATTACCACAGCAAATTATTGCCATTAAGATACCCCTGGTGGTTTTTCTAAATAGCAGCATTTTAGAGCAATGCCAAACAATTTGCTTTGATTAGGAAATCTGGTTCTTGTCATAATAGAATAAACTTGTATTGTATTTTTAATGTAGTTCAGGTTCCAAATCTTGAACAAATATCAAAATGCTCCTCTGAGTTTCTCATTTAGAAAACAAAAGCTCTGATTGCACTCCAGTGAAATTATCATTTATATGCAAAAAAGAGGGCTAATCTCATATTTTCTTCCACTTTGATGATCGTTTTTCTCTTTTGGACTGTGGAAAATAAATGTATCTTCTTTTAGACATTTTCTTAGAGGACAAAAGAAGTTGGATATGAGTATATTGTACTTTCCCCCGTGATCAGCTGTCTGTTAGTTCTTAGTGCTCAGAGCATTATCCAGCTGGATTCCAGACGTAATGATGTGTTGCCCTCTACACCATGGAAAGTTACAGCGCTCAGCTGCCGGCCAAGCTCAGTTGAAAGTTTGTCCAGATGACACGAACCTCTCCCTTGCACAAACGAATAGCAACTGAAAATGATAAACCTGTCAGCTGGGACTTGGAGCTGGTGGCCTCCAACCTGAATTGCCCAGGGACCAGAATATAGAAAGAAACCCTAATGAGCTGCCCTTTGACTTTCCCTCAGGCTTGCAGAAGCCAGTGTGTGGTGGGTCAGAGTACTTAGGTGATAACATTCACTGTTCTCTCTCTGTCTCTAAATATGCTGAAAGAGCTAAGGTAGATCCTCAAGAACCCCTTCAGCTTCAATGCTGGAAGCTTGTAAAACCATGAAATGTTTCACTTAAGTGAACTTTAAGAACTGACCATGTTTCTGATCATATGTTCAAAAGCCTTAAAAAATTATAGTTGCAATTTGCTTAAATTTAGTTGCTTTGCAGAATGTACTTGGGTCCTCTTCCTTAGAGCCAGGAAATCTAACTTTTCATTCATTGATAATAAACAAAAAAGAAAAGAAAGAAAAGGGGACTATTCTGGACCAGTTACATGGTTTCTCTTTCAGAAAGGGCATTTATATTTGAGAATGCTAACTCACAATCTCCCCTTGGAATTATAGACCTTGACATGACAATTATCTACCTCAGTGCATGTTTTTATAGTCATTCACCGATCTTTTTATTCATACTGCTTTCATTTACTAAACATGTCTTGGCCACAGTACTAGAACCTGAGGATAGGATGCAAGTAAAACATGGACCTTGCTTTAAGGATTGCCATCTGGTGGAACAGCTAATCTCATAGTGGTATGGCAAATACTATAAAGAGGAATGAACACAGTGCTTTGAGAGCAGAGAGGCAGACACATTTATTTCCTTGTGGGAAAGTTAGGGAAGACTTCCTGAAGGAAGTGATGTTTTCAGGTAGAGGTGACAGCAATGCAAAGGCACAGAGGCAAGAAAGAGCCTGTCAAATTATGGAATAAGCAGTTTGGTGTGATGGGAGTAAAGAGAAAACTTAAAGGTGGTGGTAGAAGACAGAACTCAAAAAGAATATAGGGGCAATTGTGAGGAGCTATGAATATCTTGTTAAAGATTCATTCAAAGATATGGTGACTTAAAGTTTATTAATTAATGTACAGCAAGATGTTTCCTAGAAGAAGATGACACAGTTGATTACAAAGTATTATACTTTCTTTTTCAGTAATTTCTTGGCACATGTAAAGGCTGTTACATATTTGGAGAGGAGCAAGGTGGAAGTGGTTGGGAAACCCTGTCGGAGGCAGCACCTTTTTCTGCATGCCACCCTTTTGCACAGGCCTCTTCTGATTTTAATCACCATGTTCTTTAAGGGCTGACCTCCAGATTGTCTGCTTTTCATTGACCCGTGCATTAACCACCACCACAAACACTAAATATAGCAAACAACAATGCAAAGGAAACAAAAATTCCATCATGAGAACAAACAAATCACCATTTTGTTAGTTCATTCTAAACTTGGTGAGGTGGTAAATAGGTTCTGTCTTTTGCTTTTCCTTATTTTGGGAGACTCTGAAACTTCTCTGGCATTGAACTGTATTTCTCTCTAGTTAAGCATGATAATATGTCAAGGAGGACATGCAAGGGCATTGTGTCTTTAATATTTATTCTAAAATTCCTTGGCGATGAGGAGGAGCTTAATACTCACAACTATAGTTGGTCGTTGTTGCCTGTGTGACCCTGACTCAACAATGACTTGTTGAAGTGAATTAAACTGTTTAGAAATCAGTTGAAAGGTAAGAAATCGACTTCCCCAATGATGGCTCTGATTTATTGTTTCTTGTCTTATTCTGGATTTTTTTTTAATAATAGGCTCATGCCCTAGAAAGTGATGTCAAGAATGATCTCCTGGAACTTGCCTGCATGTGTAAGACTGTGGTGTGCTGCCGGGTCACGCCGCTCCAGAAAGCCCAAGTAGTGGAACTGGTGAAGAAACACAGAAGTGCTGTCACTTTGGCCATAGGTGATGGAGCCAATGATGTCAGCATGATCAAAAGTGAGAGAACCTTTGCTTGGTGGGGCATGCTGCACCCTGGAGTACTCAGGTTCAGCATTTAGCAATATGTAAAGGAGATTCCATTACAACTTCATTTTGCCCACTGGTTCTAAAATGAATACTCTAAATCCAATGAGATCGCCATTCTTAGCATTCATTAAAAAACCTCTTTGTGGGGGAAATTGTACAGAGAGTAAGAAGCATAGATGGTAGGTAGAAAATAGACAGGGGGAGGGTAAGAATAGTATGAGAAATGTAGAAGCCAGAGAACTTATAAGTATGACCCATGGACATGAACTAAAGGGGGGGAATGTGGGTGGGAGAGGGTGTGCAGGGTGGACAGGACTGAAGAAGGGAAAATGGGACAACTGAAATAGCATAATCAATAAAATATATTAAAACAAACAAACAAACAAACAAACAAACAACCTCTTTGTGCCCTGGCTGGTGTGGCTCAGTGGATTTAGTACCAGCCCTCAAATCAAAGGGTCTCTGGTTTGATTCTCAGTCAGGGCCCATGCCTGGGTTGTGGGCCAGGTCAGGTCCCCGATGGGGGCATGCAAGAGGCAATCAGATATTGATGTTTCTCTCCCTGTCTTTCTCCCTCCCTTCCCCTCTGTCTAAAATAAATTAAAGCTTTTTAAAAAGAAGAAAAAAACCCTCTTTGTCTGTAATTAAGAAATCTGTATATTTTTAGGCTAGAAAAAGACGTGGTGTAGAGAAATGAACATTGGTTTCACAGTCCCAACACTTGGGTTTAGTCTCAGCTTCACCAGTTAGAAATTGTAAAATTTTGTGCAACTTACTGAACTTCTCTGAGCCAGTGTCCTCTTTTGTACTAGGAAAAAATACCTATGCTCTGATAAGTGCATCATGAGATAATATATATGAAAATTATTAATGCTATAGCTGTAAATTTTCTGTAATACCATAGAAGAGGAATGACAAGCTCCACAAGAGATCGTATCTTTCTTTGGGGAGTAAAAGGTGTTCCTTTTTTCCTTTGCAGGTGCTCATATTGGCATTGGAATCAGCGGCCAGGAGGGATTGCAGGCAGTCTTAGCCAGCGACTATTCATTTGCTCAGTTTAGATACCTCCAAAGGCTTCTCCTTGTTCATGGAAGGTGGTCCTATTTCCGCATGTGCAAATTCTTATGCTATTTCTTCTATAAGAATTTTGCATTCACACTTGTGCACTTCTGGTTTGGTTTCTTCTGTGGTTTCTCAGCCCAGGTTGGTAAAAAGTACTTATCTTTCTTTTATAAGATCCCCTGGATTATAAATGACTGTTCTTCATGGTTTTTATTAATAAATAGGAACACCATGGCAATTATGTAATTGATAGTTGACTTGAGCTTTGAGCCCAAGAAGAATATATATTTAGTTAGCATTTTATTTATTTTTCTCTATTTGCATAGCAACCAGTGAGTACTCTTTTCTTCATGTTTTTATTAAAATGTTTTTGTAAGATGACAGGTAAGCTTGATACAGACTTTTGATTAGAAGTCTGAGAAACAATAGCAAGAAATGTTGAGGTATGCCCATTGGGAGGATGGTCACTCACTGAACACACTGAACATGAATATCTTATATTGGGGGAAGTAATTGATACCCTGACAACAAGGATATTCAGACAGTAGTTCATTGACTAAAACAATGATATATAGATTATGTTTATTGTAATAAAAGTTAGCAAATGTGTAAATTAGGACACTATTTTTATATTCAGTCATCTTCATTTTGAAGAATATTACTTCACCATATATCTTGAATGTCAAGATTGGACCCTGGGTGTCAGTTGTGAAATGTAAGACCTATAGTATTTAAAAATATTTATGAATTAAAAAATCATGCCATTATTTTGAACAACAAAATAAAACATTGTCCTTGAAAATGAAATGGTAGCCGTAATTCTCATTAGAGAGTTGTTCAATTGTTCTTTCTTCTCCTTGGGTTTAATCACTGGTTTCAGTGACATTCATGAAGCTGATTTTGTTCCAATCGTTTTATTCCAGAAAAATTGAGATTAATTAAATCATGGCATTTTATGTTATCTTAAATGTGCCAAGGGAGAGTAACAAATCCTTTTTGTAATGAAAATAGGTTTCATCCATTTTTTTCCTTTTTCTGAGAAGTTGAGATTTTTTAAAATGAGGCACACCTATACCTCGTCCTAATTTTCTCTCTGAAGGATAACATTCTCAGAACTAAAGCAGACTCTGTTGATTATTTTTGGTAATTTTTAGATAGTTGAAGTAAAGCAAGTCTTGATTTTAACTCTACTTTGAGAAGGCATTGGGATGGAGATATTCGCCTCCTCATCATCCCACCTTTGTCCAACCACAGACGTGGGCCCGTGGACTTTGCCTTCCCAGGCAGGGCACTTTCCCTCCACGTAACAGCAAAGCACGCTGTTTGCTAAGCAGTGTTTCTGAGAGATCCAGTTTTCATATTGAAAAAGTTTGAGGCTTTCGAAAAATTACAAAACTATGAAGGGACGTCTTAAACCTCACTTAGACTTCTTTTACACAGAAGAGTTGTTAATAATTTGTATGTACAGATGCACCAGGCTTGGATAGGTAGGTTTACTGACAAAGTTGTGTTCATTAAAACTGTGAAGTTGAAACTTATGTTCAATGAGTTTTAACTACTACATGTAGGTGATTTTCTGCTCTGCTTTTAGGATCTAATAAAGTTGGTCAGCCAGATGTTAAACAATTAGGTTTTTAAGTCTCTTGCCAGTGGTCATATTTTAAAAGAGAACAGTGAGGAGCACAGTGATTTCTCTAAAGACATGAGTAGCTGATTGTTAAACCCAGTTGTAAGACACAGAACCTGTCTATGATTAAGTTTCTGAAGTGTTTGACTGAGTTGCAGATGGGCAGAACCCCTGGCTGGGGTTTCTCTGCTCCAGCATTGCTGCAAGTGGAATGAGATCCACCCAGAGTGAGATATGAGTGCTGGTTGCTGTAAGCCCTGCCTCCTTCTCCACCTCTCTCTGAAGCTGGTTGAACCTCTGAAGCTTTCCCCAGTGATTCCCATGAGACAAGACCAGAATGGGCCTCCCAGGAAGTCTCCTGTGGTGCTGGGAGAGGTGGGTGTCCACCTAGGGCTCTCCTTATCACTGGAGAGACCACAGGCACAGAGGGACCCTCTTTGGTGCTGTGCTGTGCAGGCCAGGTGAGGGGCGATGCAGAGTGTAGCTGCTTCTCTTTCCTTTGGATGTGGTCCTTCTCTGACCCTGTGTGGTTCAGGTTGGTGAATCAGCCTCATCCCCCAGCTCTGGGACTTTCACAGTGGTGTCTTGTCTATGGATAGTTGCCACCGGTCTTCAAGTGAGGGGAACTGTTTCTGGGAATGACTGATGTTGCCATCTTGATGGCATGATTCCTGAAGTTCCTTTTTTCCAGAGAGCATTTTTGTGACTTCTGCCCATCTTCTGTGGGCATTGCCTCCCTGAGATCTCTTTCTCTGTTGCAGGACTTTTTGAATTTGGATTTCAAATCTAGTGAATATCATTTGTCATTCACATTTTTAGGAGAAGTGTTCTTGTCTTTCCCTTTAGCTAGTACCAGTGTTGATGCAGGCATGTTTCCTGCAGGACCTTTCTGCACATGGATTTGCTTCTCCTTTACTCTCACCCTAAGGATTCAGCCCTTTGCTGCCTTAGCTTTGTTAGAGTCCTCATTTGGTCCAATCTTGGCATCAATAATGGTCTCTCTTACAATATGTAGTGTCTTAGTGTCAGTGAGATTTGGTATTATTACCCAAACTCATCCCCATGTCCCCCCATGCCAAGCAACATGAACAGTGTCCTGTAGACCAGGAGCCATACAGAACCCACTTCGGGAGATTCTGGAATATATGTCTCTATGGCAGGGTTTCCAAACCTGACATCACCCTGCCGTTCCTCTTAATTCCAATGTTGTGGAGGCAGTAAGGTGTCTGGAAGACAAAATGATGCTAAGAATACTATCCCCATAGAAACAAGCTATTTACTTTTTTCCCTATCAGAAACTTCCATTTCCTTAATTAATTCTAGAACAGGGGACAAAAGAGCCCTGCTTTATATGCCAAAGTGTGGAGAGTTCACATTTAAACTTTGGTAAAATCTTTTCCCCTATCTTCAAAGTTTTTTTCTGATTATAAAAATAATTATATGTTCATATATATCAACTTTTATATATCTGAGATCATACTGTTTATATCTTTCCTTTTTTAAAAATTTTTATTTATTTTTAGAGAGAGGGGAAGGGAGGGAGAAAGAGAGGGAGAGAAACATCGATTGGCCGCCCCTCACACACTCCCAGGTGGGGACCTGACCTGCATCCCTGGCATGTGCCCCGACTGGGAATTGAACTGACAGCCTTTTGCAGGGCAATGTCCAACCCACTGAGCCATACCAGACAGGGCTGTTTGTATCTTTCTTATTTAAATTGAATAATTATTTCCTTGCCCATAGCCTTGAGTCATATGACATTGTCAGATGTCTAGTAGGAATACTTGTTTACTATCTTGGGAAGAGAAAACAAAATAATGAATAGGACAAGTCCTTACCCACCTGGAACTTGTTTTCTCATTGGAAAATTAAAAATTTGCATAAATAAGTCCAATAGAAGTTCTGTAATTGAAGTTAATACCAGAGCATAGGAAAGGAGAAATGTGTGAGGATCTGGGACAACTGAGGGTCTCAAGCTCAAGTGAGGACATGGATATATTCAAAATTAAGTGGAAGTGAGGCCTGAAAGTCTAGCTGCCCACAGAGATTCAGGAACTGGCTCATGTGAAGGTGTGAGACCATAGAGACAGAGGACGAATGCCCTCCTAGTCACACCTGAACACTTGCCAGCTGGCCAGCAGTCAGCTGGATTTGAAATCCCTCTAAAATTTCTAAAATTGCATTTAACATCAACTCATTCAGAAACACCCTTTAAAAGCTGCATGTTGTCGAAGGGGGATCTCACTTCATGGTGCTCTGTACAGCAAGCAATGTGTTCTGGAGCAGGTGTTACTACATCATAGAGACGGAGACTCTGGTGTTCCCCAGCTCCACCCACACGCGGGTGGTCTGGTGTGTTAGTGATAACAAGAACTGGCTGTGAGATACACTCCGATGGGGAACTGGGGTCATTGTCTCTTTTCCATTCCCTGTTTTTCACTACAAGGTCCTGATTAGCAACAGGTTTTACTGAAAAATCAACTGGCATTTTTTCTTAGCCCTGGTTTTCTAAGGACAATATGCGGTAAATGAAGCAAGTGAAAAGAAAACAACATATTTGGGAAAGAGACTAGACTGCAGAGAATGAGGATTTTTGAATAGGGGACATTTTTGCAGTCACACATTTTCCCCCCATTGACATCAGTCGGTTGGCTTTGGCTTCTAAAGCCATGTGTTTGGTGACAAGGCTTTTTTAGCCTCTAAAACCCATTAGGTAGCTGCTCACTTCCAGTCTGTTAATGAAAGTTGACTCTCAGGTCTTTCTACCCCCTGCCAACGCACTCCTGACCTGCTACAATAGAAATGAAGGCTCCCTGTTGAGGTGGAGCCAGTAGTCATAAGAACTTTAGGGGCTGGCAGAGTTCGGTGACTGTAGGCGTGTGTTTAGAGGTCCTTCCTTGGAGGGTCTGATCATCACTTATCTGTCCCATCCTGATAGGGGTGAGACACACATGCACACTCTCCAACACCGAACATATTGTCTTTGAATTCTCATTCATTAAACAAGAATAAACCGAGTGCTAGCATAGGGCGAAGTGCTCTCCTGGCCTCTGGGGACACCAGAATGAGCCAGAGGGATATAGTTTCTTTCCTCAGGGAACTTACATTCTGGGGACAATTTTATTTTCATAAATGTGAAACTGATGTTGAATAACTCCACAGTCACCTTTCTCTTATTTTTCTATCAAGAGTGTTTTTGAATTAAATTTCAAAAACACTCTTTTGAAGAGTGGATGCTCCATGTCTTGGGGCCAACCCTGTCCAATCTCAGTATGATTTATAAGCACCTAAATATTTCTTCCCTGCACCTCTTAACAGATTGTTTTGAAGTAATCCACTCTGCAGCCCAAAACATCTGACCAAATGTAAACAGATTGTGCTTTCTTACATACAATGTTGACTTTTAAAAACACCAGTTTAATTACTTAATGAAGTGACATGTGCTTTTTCTTTATATGTTGGCTGGTCTCTCGGAGCCTGGTAAATTTTATCCAGACTCTTGCTCTCTGAAGAT